GATGATGCTAGTCACGTCATCTTTGTCTGAGCAATAGTTGGTGTTCTCATGTAGTGGAGGATGCTTGCAGTCCATGAGCTTTAAAGCCCCACTGAGAGTGGCAATGGCTTCTGTAATACGGAATTTGGTAGTACTGCAACAGTCATTGCACAACCAGTTTGCCAGAGGTTTGCAGCAGCGTTTGTATGCTGCAGGAGTTAGGTTTGTGCACATACTATGAAACCATCTCTTGCAGTTATCACACTGCATTCCCTCATCCACTGGGAATTGGCACATAACCCTTCCGCAGCGGTTTTTTTGACGGGCACACTGTCTAGAGCGAACTGGCGAAGAAATTTAAATATAACTTTAAATGTATACAGACCTTAAAAAATCAGCGATAAAAACGAATGAGTGCAAAAATATATATGTATATATGTAACTATTATGTTATAAGTCACAACTTCCTATGGTTTAAATAGACTCAGATCTGAAAAGTAAACTAACTTTGATCATAATAAACTGATTTAAAGTTAATCTGTAAACGTTTGAAGCATATAACACAACAAAAGCCAAAACTAAACAAGAGGGTGTAAAATTCACTCCCCTTTCAAAGTTCGCGCAGTAGCGACAACTGTACTGTAGTCTACCTGCTATTATTTTAAGTACCAAAAATCAAGGGTGAAGGACTAGCGAAGACCTGAATTTTGAAATTCCTAGCCTAATGATATGAAAGCGAAAAATACTTTATGTTTGTTTAATCGCATCAGTAACAGGTTAAAAATTGACCTCAAAAGAATTTAACGGTTTGTGAAGTTTGTTCTTAAAGCAGCAATTTGGACTGTATTTCCTTTTCTTAGCAGGAATATCGTTTGAGTCTAAGTTTTTTTGCATGAAGCTTCCTACACTTCACCATTTACCCACCTTCCGTTTGTCATTTTGACTACTAGGCATCCTAGTATCATCATAGTTGGAATATGCACTAATACAAGCTTCTTCGGTAACCTGATAATCTTCCTAAATAATACAGATTACGTTTTGTAGGTTTAACAGGTGGATGGCGAATGCTATCAATGACGTTGAACCACTCACCCTAGTGGTATCAGTGTGATGTTATCGAAAATGGGCATTTGCCCAGTAACTTCATCTATAGCTTTGATAGTCGCTGTTTTGTTTCACTTTAACTGATTCGATTAACTCAAGAAGCGTTTTTCACTTTTTCGTATTCTTTGGAGGTTTTATACTACTCGAGCTTACAATAATTCTGCGGGGTTAAAGTATCATAGCCAAAGTCAAGATCTTTCAAGGGTTGTCTTTTAAGAGCCCTTCAGACACAGGAAACACTATGAACTGTCATTCCAAATCAAATAATGTCTACCCTTTTGGACTTGGGGAGGATAGACACAGTATTCTGTTTATTTACTGGGTACTTTTTTGGAAATCTATATTGTTAGGTAGGGTTATAGCTTTTTAGATTGAGGTTTAGGAACTGTGGTTAAGGTTAGGTTTAGGGTTAAATTTAGGATTAGGAGTTGGGATTATGGTTAGATTAAGGAGTAGGTTACCAATGGATCTCAAAATACCATGGCATATAGTCACCTGGATAAATGTGTGTATCGTGCATTGTACGGTTTCTTCATAAATCACCTGTGTTGACTTGGAGACGTTCTTACAAGACATAAGCTACAGCTAAACAGTGTTATATGAAGTTTGCAATATTTTTCTGTGTATTTTTCAACGATTATGCGACTTTTTTCCATCAGTGTTCTGATTGTTTCTTCAGGATCACTGTGGTTTTCGCTGTGATAGTTTAACTTTATCAACAAGTTGAGACACTAAACCCCTTATGTTTAAGTTAGGGGTCTGTTCAGTTCGGTTCTGCAGCATCATCTTACATTTGACAGGAGAAAATCGCATGCCAAACATCCAAAGATTTCTGTCCAAGGTGTTCAGAAGACTGTTAACAAGTCAATCCTTAAGTTTCTAAAGTCACATAGGGTCAATGCCATCAGTACATTTGTAGTGAATTTAAGCAAACTGGAGATAGTGGACGTCCCCAACAGACACCATTAGTTTCCGTCAGTACAGATGACAGCTCTGAAACAACAGAGTTCATGTTAGAAAGGTCATCAGAATTGGAAAACGAAATACTGATACGTATGAGAGTTTTGGACAAATATTGAAAGTAGTGCTAGGAAGTGAGACAGGAAAGAATATATTTTCTCAACATCTCATTTAAGATCGGCGATAGAAACTTAAGAATCAGGGGTGAATAGTCACTGGAGGGTGAAATAGAAATGAGGAAAGCTTTAGTGGATTTAGAGGCTCATTTCGTTTTGGGTTTTCAGTTGTTGAGGTCTAGGAAACATACTTTGCCATGATCTCTGTTCATAAGTTGGGCGTACACATAAGTGTGTCAGTATGATCTTCGAAGGCGTGTAGTCTTAGAATCAGCCGTAGCAACCTCAGTCACGATTTGAGAGCGAATGTCAACATCCCATTCTAGTAGATGCTGGATGCTTAGCAAATCGCTCCTCAGAGTGTTCCCTCCAATGTTCTAGTATTCCATCCTGGACGGTAATTAAGGTACTGTTCTTCTATGAAATCATGCCGTTTATAATTGTTTCTTCACATCTCATTTCTCTAAATAAATAATTGTCTGGTATTATCTATCGCCTATGACTTACATTTTTTGGTCGTCTCTCACCAATGTTCACGAAATAATTGGATGACTAACAGTTGAGTATGCTTGTTGATGTTTAATATACATTTGTGCGATTCTTCTAAGTGGCATTGCTTTTAGTTATGCTCTGATATAGTGAGATTCCTGAAGCTGTTTTCGAAGTGCTTCCAGCAAATACCCTTTACCAGTCTCTATATTAACTGGGTCTTCAGAAAGATTAATTCTACATAGGGGACACTTCAGATTATTGGAAATGAACTTAGTTAAAATGCAGGATTGTTTCAACTCTTATTTTGCGTTTGAATGATAAGTCTTGCTTACAAGCAAATCATTCTCCATGATTTTATCCTTTTTTAGATGCAGTTTATGGAACAAGTCGTTCATATTTTAGGCTATGAGCCTCAATTATTGTGTGAGAGTTGGCGATAGTACTTAGTTGCCCAGGCTGAAGTAGGTGGCTCGAGGCCGAGGCTTGGGACTCACTGACTGAAAGTCGAGTGCTCAAGCCTGTGAACCACATTTTCATCCTTTTATCATGTATGAAATATTTCAGCGGATGGTTTTTCTTCATTTTCTTGCGTATTTCATCATGTCTATTACCAGTTATCCATTATTTTTTCCACGATTAATTTCCCTCATTATTGAAGTTGTTAAATAGCCGTTTTCTCACACTCTGATGAGCTTTCAGGTAGCTGTTCACCTAATGTCATTCATAGAAACAATTTCAAAGGTTATAATATCAATCAGTGGTTGCATCCTTAGTAGTGTTTCGCTTCCAACTTGTATTATTATTATTGTTTCCTTTACTTCCTAGAGGAACATAGGGTTTCAGCCGTGCGTCTCCATTGTGTTCGGTTCTCTGCTAGAGTCTTTACTTGGCTCCATGTCTGCCCACACGTTTCCATCTCCTCTTCACATGACCTCTTCCAAGTCACCCACCAACACACTGACGACCAACTCGCCGCTTCCAATACAGTCGGGTTCCATCGACCAATGCCTTGTCTAGTGATGTCACTTGATGATTTCCTCAGAGTATGGCCAGCCAATCCATATCCATTTCTTCCTGCCTGCCTATTTGTTTCACAATCGGTTCCTACTGAGTTGGTTCGCTCATTGCCAGAGATCCCTCTCTGTTGCTGATCTTTTCTGGCCGGCCGGCCATCTGATCTTGAGTGGTATTGAGCGAAGACAGCTGTCAATGAAAGTCTGTAGTTTGTTTGAGATGTTCTTTATGACGCGCAGTGCAAGTCTGTGATCCGTATATTGAGTAGCACTGACTGGCTCCACATTGGAGTTGAAAATCCGGATCTTATCTTCGTTTTGCATGCTGAGTGCTGTTGACCTCCTCCACACATACTTGAGAGTAATGAAAGCTTGTCTTGCTTTCTTGATCCTCGCGGCTTTGATATCCTCGTCAGTTCCGCTTGTAGTTGAAATGATGCTCCAAAGGTGGGTAGGTAAAAGTGGTTGTTTCTTTCAGGTTCCTTCCATTTATGCTGATCGCTGTCTGTTGTTGTTCTTGCCCAGGAATCTTCATCACCTCTGTCTTCTCTATGTTCACCTAAAGTCCTTCCCGTCTTTGATGCTTCTTCCAACTTGTTGCTTTTCGCCTGCATATCTTCCAGTTTGTGAGAAATGAGACACATATCATCGGCGAAGTAGAGATCTACAAGTTTTTGTGTGAGTCCATTTTATGCCTGTTTCCTCATTGCCCGCCGCTGTTTGTCGCATTATCCAGTCTACTGCAATCAGGAAAATCATTGGCGATAGTAGGCAGCCAGCTTGTCTTACTCCTCTCCTCACTTCGGAGGGTTCCGTAAGTTTCCCGTTGTGGATTACTTGGCATGCAGCATTGTCGTACAGCTGTTGGATGGGATGTATAATTGTCGGTGGCACCCCTTGGTAGTAGCGAAGTAGTTGCCAAATCACCTCTCGATCGACGCTACCTACTGAAGGCTTTTTCAAAGTCGATGAAGTTGAGTGAGGTGGAGAGGTGACTGCCATTCCAAGCTTTGTTCAATGATGATCCGTAATGTGGCGATCTGATCAATGCATGACTTGTTTCTCCTGAATCCAGTCTGTTCCGGTCGAAGTTTTTCATCCAGGGCTTGTTTGATTCTCTTCAGGATGATGCGGCTTAGTATTTATTCTTGGGATGGACAGGAGCATAATTCCGCGCCAGTTATTGTACACTTGTATACTTTTCATAATTTATCAGGTTTTCAATTTTATTTGTATTCTTTACTTTACTTTACAAATGACTCTTTGTATTATGCTCTTTTTTTAGATAGATACTAGATAAACTTCTATAGTTCATTGACTACAACCAAGTTATATAATGGAGGTAGAATTGGGGAAAGTTCTAGGCAAATATACTGAAGTCTGTAAAGTTTTATTGACTAAAGGATATCAAGAGGTAATTGTCTAATATAGGGCTTATTTAATATGTATTTTAGATTGTCAATTATTTTGATGAACTTCTAAATTGTAGCGAAAAGCCAAATAGAGTGAATCTACTAGAAGCAATTCTAGGTAAGCAGTGTAGTGCCGTTGACAAACTTATTTCAAAATCTATTCCAGTTGGTGTTCGTGAACATGAACAATTGTTAGAGATATATGAATATGTCGTGGACAGTTTATGGACAAGAGAAATCGATCTGGTCATTAGACCTATCATTTCTATGTTTTTAAATAATTATGTAAATTTGTTGTTTTCTTATAAGAGTAATGTTTTCAATTCATACAGTTAGATTATCTTGAAGATTGGAAAGTTGAACGCCTATGCTTTCGAATGATTCGCAAGTTGAACACTGTGTGTTTAGAACCATCTCTGTAAGGTCGTCTTATATGCTGATAAATCATCATTTTGTATTTGTTTTCTAGCCTATTCGATATCCTGGCTAAGGGATTGGTTAGGCTAGAGAAATCGGATGCTGTTTTAACCTCAATGATTGACTCATTATGTTCTACCGAGTAATCAGACATTTTTGTTCATTTGGTTGTTATTCACTACTATTATTATTATTTTAGATGGTGCAGTGAAAATGTTGTCTGTCTGTTAGATGTACTCAGCAATTATAATCTGCAAAAGACATCAGTTGAAAAAATTTTAGACAAATCATTGTCTAAAATTATTTCATGGAATAAAGATAAATTACCAGAAGTGATACAAAGTATTCTGTTATATGCATTCCCGGTTTGTTTATATATATATTGTTTTGTAATGATTTTCTTTATTACTTTAAGGCAAATATTGAATTTTTATTTTTACGGCTGTTATCATTATTATATAATGATAAGGAGATTTGTTCAACTTCATCGTATGAAGCGATACGTGGTCAGTTGATGATGAAAATGTTCTCTTTAGTTAAAGACAATGAAGATTTCGGTGAAGTTGTCTTTGAAACAATTAAGGTAGTCTTAGTTATTTTGCTTCTTTTACCTCTGCCTTTATTTAGTCACTGTCAAAATCACGAATAGAATCTGAATTTTTCTTTACAATTCTGATGACATTATTGCCTATCAGAACTACTCAAGCTGAGGTAAGTATACAAGTATCACTTTTTAAATGTAGTTTTTCACTGATGATAAAGAATCATATTCCCTGTATGTTTGTGTGTGTGTGTGTGCGTGCATAGAGTATGATCGCTGAGCAAGATGACTTGTCATTTCAGTGCACTTTGTTGAATTGGTGTTTAACTGGTTGGAGTTGCAGTCTGCAGGAAGCTCTGGGGTTGGGTTTTTTTGCTGATTGACATTCGTCAGTATGGCGTGTCTGCGGCCTCAAAGGAGCTGATATCTTCTCGGAGATTTGAATCCATGTCACCCGGTACTGCTATTTCGACCTAAATAGCTCAGCAGTAACGTCTCTGAACTGTAACACTGGGTGATGTGAGTTGGAATCTTCGAGGGGATACCAGTTCCTTTGGTATTGCAGATACGCTGTGCTTATGATTGCTAAAAAGCGAGACACCTGGATCTACGGCTTCATGCTGATTGTCTACAGCCACCTAAAACTATTTCCTTGTTGGCGTCCCGAGCCACCGGTTCGAATTAATTCTCGAACTCTGACCACAGAGTCGTGATGCACCAACAGATGTTAACCTAACAAATATCCTTCATTCCACAGAGCCACATCATAGGCTGATCACCTCTTCGCTTTTTCCATCCAGTCACAGGGCTAGCGAATAGTGAGTGATATAGGAGCCTCCGGGATGATATTCGTGGCACTTGTCCAAGCCACTGAATTTGTTGCGTCAAGATGGCTACACTTAATGAAAGTTAACCTCCATAGTATCGGAACCCGCTCTGCAGGACCTCAGAATTACGTACACGATGGTGCCATTGGACAAAAGCAATTCTGTGGAGGTAGCGAAGGTGGAATACGCAGAATCTCCGCACATCCTCAGCTTGGAGGCGCCAGCTTACACAAGTATAGTGTGAGACTGTCTCTCACTGGAGCTTTGTAAACCTGACCTTTGACAACCAGCCTGATTGAGGTGGCTCAAATCGGTGTATGCTACCCTAGCTTTAGCTTTACGATTAAAGATTTCGCCCGTCACACTTCCTCCAGCACTCATACAGCCATCTACGTACACGAACTTGTCGACAACTTCAGTCTTTCCTTCTGCAAGACTGAGTGCAGGTACAGGCTCCTGCCAATCCTGCAAGAGTACATTGCACTTGGATGGCGCAAATCACATACCATATTTAAGGACATTGGTCGCCAACTGATTAAATGCGATTTGGGCAGCCTGCATACTCCTCGAGGTCGAGAAGTATTTCTCCTATAAAGCACATTCACACGACCGTTGGTCAGTTTGGCCCTAAGTATACAAACCTTAAGTTTTTATATACTCTTTCGAATTCTACTACACGTATTTCGTCCTGGGAACCACTGGTTTTCATAAACTTCTAAATGTGATGTGGCTGTTAGTCTGGTACACAAAAGATGTACTCGCTAGTTAAGTATTATTTATTACTGTTTTTTATTACTTCTCAGTAAGAGTAGAAACAATGTAGGTAGTCTCATTTCAGAGGCATATATGACACAGTTTTGAACCACTGAGTCGTTTCATTCAGAAAGTCATTGTGTAGACGGTTTGCATGTAATTAACTAGACTGATAAATTCTATGTGAGATAAATTCATTCACCGAGTTATGTCGTCAGAGGCCTACAGCGTTTTTTTCGCTCTTTTAAATCTCGACCTCATTTTATAGTTCTCATGGTTTTTTGTTCTCTCCGATGATCTTCATATCGTATCATACATCAAAGCAGGTAGCGATATGGCGCATCGAAACAATTAAATACTTTATTATACTGTTTGGTACTTAGATGGTTCAGTGCTCCAGGTTTGATTTATCGTTGAAGCACTCTTAAACCTTGACTAGTTTACTTGCCGATAGTGAGCAGCCCAGAAAAGAGGGAAGGTTGGGGTTGGGGTGGGATGATGACTAGTAATTTTACCCCTTTCAAACACATCATAAACTCCACTAAAGCCCTATGTCCCGAGTAAAATGCAAGGAACAGAAGAATCCTGTTTGGTTAGATTTCCATGTATTATTTCAAGATTGAACATTAGTTGGTTTCATACATACACTACCAAGGAAAGGAGACTTCAGTCAATGCAAGAACTGGCGCGGAATTATGCTCCTGTCCATCCCAAGCAAAATACTAAGCAGCATCATCCTGAAGAGAATCAAACAAGCCCTGGATGAAAAACTTCGACCAGAACAGACTGGATTCAGGAGAAACAAGTCATGCATTGATCAGATCGCCACATTACGGATCATCATTGAACAAAGCTTGGAATGGCAGTCACCTCTCCACCTCACTCAACTTCATCGACTTTGAAAAGGCCGTCAACAGCGTCGATCGAGAGATGATTTGGCAACTACTTCGCTACTACCAAGGGGTGCCACCGACAATTATACATCTCATCCGACAGCTGTACGACAATGCTGCATGCCAAGTAATCCACAACGGGAAACTTACGGAACCCTTCGAAGTGAGGACAGGAGTAAGACAAGTGGTTGGCTGCCTACTATCGCCAATGATTTTCCTGATTGCAGTAGACTGGATAATGCGACAAACAGCGGCGGGCAATGATGAAACAGGCATAAAATGGACTCACACGAAAAACTGGACTTCGCCGATGACATATTTCTGATTTCCCACAAAGTGGAAGATATGCAAGTGAAAAGCAACAAATAGGCAGAAGAAGCATTCGGAGAAGATAAGACTTCAGGTGAACATAGAGAAGACAGAGGTGATGAAGATTCCTGGGCAACACCACCAACAGCAACAACAACAACTGACAACAATCAGCATAAATGGAAGGAACCTGAAAGAAACAACCTTCTTTACTACCACCTACCTACCTGGGAAGCATCGTTTCAACTACAGGAAGACGGAACTGACGAGGATATCAAAGCAGCGAGGATCGGAAAAGCAAGACAAGCTTTCACTACTCTCAAGTCTGTGTGGAGGTCAACACTCAGCACTCAGCATCAAAACGAAGATGAGATCCGGATTTTCAACTCCAATGTGAAGTCAGTGCTACTATACGGATCAGAGACTTGCAGCGCGTCATAAAGACCATCTCAAACAAACTACAGACCTTCATTAACAGATGTCTTCGCTCAATACTCAAGATCAGATGGCCGGAAAGGATCAGCAACAAAGATCTCTGGGAGCGAACCAACTCAGCAGGAACCGATTGTGAAACAAATAGGCAGGAAGAAATGGAGATGGATTGGCTGGTCATTCTCTGAGGAAACAAACCATCAAGTGACATCACTAGACAAGCCATTGCTCGAGTGGAACCCGACTGAAAGGGAAGTGGCGAGTTGGTCGTGAGTGCGAGGGTGGGTGACTTGGAGTAGGTCATGTGAAGAGGAGATGAAAGCGTGTGGGCAGACATGGAGCCAGGTGAAGACTCTAGCAGAGAACCGAACGGACGCCTGAAGCTCTATGTTCCTCTAGAAATTAAAGGATACAATAATAATACATACATACATACACTAGTATATTCACAAGTACATACGTAAATCCATATGTATGGCTACACTTATGATTCATCATCTTTCCGTGCAGTTAGCTCTCAGATTTTAGTTTACAGGCTTTAACTCTGTTTCAACGCTACAAAGACTGAGACAACTATCTGTTACTATGTGTTGCCTAGTTAGTATGCAGTTGGCATAGTTGCAGTCTTACTTTATAAAGCTCCAATTGATTGTTCTCTTTTGGATTTGTTTCAACCCCGACCTGAAGAAAGGAGCGAAGATGGAAGAAGTAAGTATTCAACCGACATTACGAAGTTTCTTTGGGGACGAAGACGCAAAAATTTGATTATTTGGTATAGATTATTCCAAAATATTTACAACTCTATAGAACAGCTACTGCATAATGGCCTTAAGTAGTGCGTGGATGTCAAGTCAAAATAGGTGAAATGCTATTCGAACTGTGACCAATAAGTTAACAGTTCGCTGTTGAATTCTTTAAGTCATATCACTATTTGGAATGTCGTCTTGATTCTCATCCGGTGTAAAAGGAATGACTGACTATTGATAATGAGGCAGTGTTGAGTATGAATATATGAGAGCATCATATTACTTACTTTGTACTGCATCCGTGCTAAATTTTTACCGATACTATTATAATTCTTTCCCTATATCTTTTGCTATTTTCAAGGCTATTCAACTACTGACCAACTCTATTTTAAGAGCGTTTTCTGACAGTCATTTGGTCTTAGAGTCATCTTTTCTTCGAGCTATCTGCCAATTATCAGATGATCCTAAGGAGATTATCCTTAAACTTACTGAAAAATGGTAATTATCTAATTGTTTTTTGCCTTTTTTTGAGGTAATATTTATTCATTTCCCTAAAAACACAATTGTTTCCTTTTTATAAAGTTATGCTATTGGTAAGACTGATTGATAAAAGTAGAGGTGTAACGACAGATCGTTTGTTGAGAAAATCAACACATATTTATAGATTTTTATGTACATTATTATTAGCGTTATTGTTAGCAGAGAAACAGCGTCTTCTGATTGGTTGTTTTCTTGCTGAAAGTTTTATTCTGTCATCTCTTTGTAGGCATTTCTTTGAAGGTCAGACCATACATCTGCGAATCCTATCCACCCATGCAAAGTCTGCTGTGATTAGTTGTTGAGTTAGTCTTTGCTCTTGTTTTTCTCATGGCCAAGATTTGGGATGCAAAACATTGACGTAAATTGCTGTCTACCAATTTTGGCTAGCAGAGACAGCTCTCACCACAGAGGTACTTGTTTGTAAAGTCGTGTAGTAGCTGTTGAGTTTTCAGGTGATTAGAAATGAGTCACTCTGGATTCATGTTTGACAGACTCACTTCCGACCGAGTGACTGTTATTATTATTATTACTGTTATTAAAACTTAGGTATGATACATTATGGGCACCGAGAGATGCGCCACACAAAATCTCAGTTTGTGTGAGGCCTGGGGTACCGCCCAGACCGGACCAGATGGTAGTCTTGAGGAGCCTCCCTCTTCGAACTTCTAAATTCCAGTCTGATTCACGAGAGGACAGAGCATTGGCAGCAGCTACATTCCCATGGTTGACGGCTACCAAAACAGTTTCATACGTCATTCAATCCCTTCGGATTATGTACATCCATGTACACCATAACTTTGTAGTCAACGTTTTTCAGCTCCCATAAGTAGATCTGCACGTCCATCACTGTGGTTGTAAACGCGGAGTACTCACCTTTGCCCTTTTACTCTTGTAAGGAACACCACCGCCATGTGAAGGTAGTGAACAAGACTTATCTGGCATAGGCTGCGAAGGCGTGGCCACATGAGAACATTTTGAGAGGAAGTCCGAAGTCTACCCATCTTCGGCCGTACCACTTCGTTTACTACAAGTACCCAAGCGGGTGGAACAGCTGTCTGATGTCTAAATCATTTCATTTGGTTTAGTGAATATCACTAAGCAGCAGTATTTATTGTTTCCAACTAATTTTTATAGCTCTTTTCTGTCATCTTGACTACACTCATTCTGTTATGCAAATCATAATCTGTCGTCTAAACAGTTTGATCTCTTAAAGTAAGCATGGTGGAATCTCACCATGAAGTGAGAATGCTGCCATCATCCACTGTGTAGGTTGTTCTTTATGTATGTTTGATAAAAAGCTGACATCAGTTAGAGTGTGGTGAGAGCTGGCTGCTAGCCAAAGTTGGTAGACAGTAATTGACGTCAATGTTTATGTCCCCAATATTGGTGGTGAGAAAATGAGAACAAAGGCTTTGTGTAGGCGGATACAGTTAGCATATGGATGATCTGACACAGCCACAAAGAGATGCAAGGTTAACTTTCTGTGAGAAACAACGAATCAAAAGGCTTTATTTTCTACTAACAATAATCTACAATAATGTACATTAAAATCTATAAATATGTGTTGATTTTCCTTAATAAACGTTCTGTTGCCTGGCCCTTGTCTTCTGTTGTTACAAAACATTTCCTTCTAATTTAAAACTATGAGACATGCCCGTTGAGATCATGAATATTTCGATCGCGTATATGGTCTTTTTTTGTCTTGGATGTTGTGTTTGACTAATAACTGAAAGTTTTATACGTTCACTTGATTTCTGATTTTTGAATAGAGGTGCTACGATTGCCTTTCTTGTTAGATGGTCAGGAATTAAAAGGATTTTTTTTGGTCAAAAGTAATACTGGATTTAGGTTGGTTCCTCTGTTACTCCAACACTAGACAATAATATACGGCTGATCAGTTTACTGGTATTCCCACACTGAGAAAGAGACAAGACTTGACTGAGCAAAAAAAAGATTCAATGCTGAATGAACAAGACATCAGAAGACCAGAAATTACAGCTAATTATATATTTACTTGACATTAGCGGTAAATTACATTAGCGTTTTTAATAGATATGGGAGATCACAGAGAGTGAATACATCTGCGTCAGTGAGAAAGATTTTGAGCTATATCATCAGTTGTCTCCAACCATTAGTTCTCCACCTCCTGAAGACCACAACTAGAAAGCCTCCCTACGTGGTTTAAACTCTGTCTGTCTGGATTCAACACAAAACTTGGCACCGAAGTGCAGCAGTTCGAGTTGCCACGTTCCAAATAGCACAGAAAGGTAGACAAGAAGATGAATGAAGAGAATCAATAGATCTGTGTTCAAAGGCAGCTAGCCTTTACATATCCTTTATTTCAGTGAACATAGTGCATTTCGGTGGAGTTGTGGCGCTTGATTTCTTGATCTTTTGAGCGAAAGGTGTTAGAACCCTGCTCCACTAATTGAAGTGTGTGCTGACAGGTAGTAATTATCATTAGTCCTCACACACAATAGATATACTTTACTGCCAATTGTTCATGGAAATCCAAGTGGTTGATGAGTATCATGTTACACGTCGTGATTCAGTTGTGTTCTATGAGCTGGTTGGTTGATTTACGAAGCTTTCGATGTCCTTTTAGACAGCATCATCAGCTCAGGTTTCAGTATTATTATTGTTCCCTTTAATTACTAGAGGAACATAGCACTTCAGCCGTGCGTCTCCATTGCGTTCGGTTCTCTGCTAGAGTCTTCACCTGGCTCCACGTCTGACCACACACTTCCATCTCCTCTTCACATGACCTCTTCCAAGTCACCCACCAACACACTGACGACCAACTCGCCGCTTCCAATACAGTCGGGTTCCATCGACCAATGCCTTGTCTAGTGATGTCACTTGATGATTTCCTCAGAGTATGGCCAGCCAATCCATATCCATTTCTTCCTGCCTGCCTATTTGTTTCACAATCGGTTCCTGGTGAGTTGGTTCGCTCATTGCCAGAGATCCCTTCCTGTTGCTCATCTTTTCTGGCCGGCCATCTGATCTTGAGTGGCACTGAGTGAAGACAACTGTTAATGGAGGTCTGTAGTTTGTTTGAGATGCTCTTTATGACTCACTGGCCAAGTCTCTGATCCATCCGTATAGTGAGTAGCACTGACTGAGTTCACATTGGAGTTGAATATCCGGATCTTATCTTCGTTTTGATGCTGAGTAGGGCTGTTGACCTCCACACAGACTTGAAAGTAGTGAAAGCTTGTCTTGCTTTCCCGATCCTCGCTGCTTTGATATCCTCGTCAGTTCCGTCTTCCTGTAGTTGAAACGATGCTTCCCAGGTAGGTGGGTAGGTAAAGGAGGTTGTTTCTTTCAGGTTCCTCCCATTTATGCTGGCTGATCGTTGTCAGTTGTTGTTGTTCTTGTCCAGGAATCTTCATCACCTCTTTTTTCTCAATGGTCACCTGAGTCAGTGAGTCTGGTGTGTTCTATGCTGGTTCTGTTCTGATTGTTTTATTCCTTGTTTTCCAGGTTTCAGTATGAAATGAACTTATTTGAGTTCTCTTTGAATGATATAATTGTATATCTCCTGACAACCACTGCTGTGATTGGTTGTTAATATACGTCTCTATTGAACCAATCATAACAATAGTTGTCAGGAGATACACAATTATATGATTCATAGAGAATTCAAATAAGTTCATTCCTTACCGTAGTCTGAGCTGAAGATGTTGTCTAGAAAGACAACGAAAGCTTCTCAATGAAGAATCTCCACCCAGCCCATGGAACACAACTAAGTCAAAATCATCCACCTGAGCTACAAATCTTCTCCATTATTATACTACACATGAGAATGACAGATTGTGGTCTCGTGACTATTTTACACATACACTTTACGGTCTGTGTAATCGTAGCTACAAAGTAATGAAGAGTGAGTAGCATAGTTGTTTTAATTAGTCGTTTTTATATTCTTTGGTAGTCAGGAAAGTTTTTTTTTGGGGGGGGGGAAGTATCTCAGCGTAATGTCGCAGAGCCAACACATGCCTCCAAAGCCTCAGGATGGTCCGGGGTGGGTGCCTTGCGCTGCGGCTTGGCCACCCCTCCGAACACCTCTTGAAATGCTCCCATATGACCGGGCGTCTTACATAGCCTCTCCTGAGGAAGTCCTACTCACTGCCTTCATGTGGCGGAGGTGTTTTTCACCAAAGTGAGAGGGCGAAAGCGGATGCCCGGCGCTCGTCACCGGGTTGACTGTCCATTGGATGACAGTCTAGGAGAGATGGCTAAACCCTGATTCCAAACCTCCAACGACTGGCGTATGAAGCTCACTGGAACTCACCGGCAGACGTATGGACAAAGGGCTTGTTGGATGTCCTGGATGTCTGGCCCCAATCAAAAAGGCGTATGAAGCGAACTCCGGTCACCGGCTTCCAATGGATAGTGGACTCCCTACTCCACTCCTACTGCCTTGTAGGTCACACTTGGTTGTGTAAAGGCTAGAACTGCACTCTCAAAGAAAAGGCCGAGCGATTCTGGGGATATCACTTGTACCAAATTCCCATGAAACTTCATGAACTCTTGGGGCTACAAACCGTCTACGGACTCCGTCTGTGGAACAAGAATTGGATGACCCTGTCGCAAAACCTTGCATCAGATTGCCGCGCCTGGGCAGCGATAATTCGAGATGTTCATGAAGCCGGCTCATCCTCGCGCAGGAGATAGCCGAAGTAAAGTAAGTAAGTATGCAAATTAGTCTGATGCTCACTAGCGACTAGCTCTATACAGAAAGTTACCTGAAGTTCTAGTGAGAAGTCGTCACCAGTGTTGGTCCATCAAGTCTGGTAAGAAGAAATATACTCACCGATGATGACATTGGTTAGCCATTGCGGTATACATCACTAGTTGGCGGAGGAGGCTAGAATTCATGGGTTATTAGATCGGGTTTCACTGGTCAAATGGTCTACGAGCTCGTGTTGTAACCAGAGGGTCGCAGGTTCAAAGTTGTGTGTAGGCGCGTACTACTGATAATTGCATGGAGGATTTCATTATGAGCTGACATCAGTTAGAGAACCACTGGAAAACCTGCAGGGAGTACTGGACAGCTGTTTCGTTCTAGTTGGGGACTCTTCAGCAGTACGCACCCACCATTACGAAACAAACCCAGGACCTTCTGGCTACAAGGTTAGCGAGCTCGTAGACCATTGAGCCACTGGGACCCGATCCAATGATCCTTGAATTCTAACTTCTGCCAGTTCACGACATGGCGCGACCATTTCACAATGTCTTCTTCGATGAGTTACTGCCTCATCTTCAACCTACTGTACCCTACTGGTCACGCATGGCTTCCCACTAAAATCCCTACAAAACCAATACTACTGAAGCGTCCGAAACTAGGACGACCCAGCTATTCAGTACAGTACTATCTGGCTTTCCAGTAGTTCTCTAACTGATGTCAACTCTTGATGAAAATCCTGTAACCAATCAAATCCCTGTGAAGCATCACTTGAGAATATTGTAGAAGTGTTTTTATTTTTTATATGCCTACTTAATTTTTGAGTGAAATCAAAACTACGTACCGTTTTTTTAGAAAAACGAACTATTTCTCTGTTTAATTAACGTACATTATTTCAGCACTACAAGTCAATGGGAATTCACTATTCATGGAATGATTATTCTTGGTTTTACACTTATTCGAGCTGCATGTTCATTTAATACATCGTCATCATGCGGGGGTGGTAGTGGTGGTGGTCGTTCATCGTCATCGTTGTCATCATCATCATCAAAGCCACAGTCAGCATCACCTTTTCTCACTCATGATACGTTGAAATCACGTATACTTCGTTCAGGTCTAGACTTACTTGTACATCTTTTTAAAGTGAGTGAATACTACAATTCATTCAGCTATCAGATATCTATTTATTGATTATTTATTTTATTTACGAGGTTGTTTTGTACTTTATATCTATGTACAGGATGGAATTTTATTCGACAAGGTATATATATATATACCTATGATATATGTCTGATTTCCCACAAACTGGAAGATATGCAAGCGAAAAGCAACAAGTTGGCACAAGAAGCATCAAAGATGGAAAGGACTTCAGGTGAACATAGAGAAAACAGAGGTGATGAAGATTCCTGGACAACACCACCAACAGCAACAACAACAACAGACAACAATCAGCATAAATGGGAGGAACCTGAAAGAAACAACCTTCTTTACCTTCCTACCTACCTGGGAAGCATCGTTTCAAATACAGGCGAACGGAACTGACGAGAGTATCGAAGCAGCGAGGATCGGGAAAGCAAGACAAGCTTTCACTACTCTCAAGTCTGTGTGCAGGCCAACAGCCCTACTCAGCATCAAAACGAAGATAAGATCCGGATTTTCAACTCCAATGTGAAGTCAGTCAATGCTACTCACTATACGGATCAGAAGCTTGCTCTGCGCGTCATAAACAGCATCTCAAACAAACTACAGACCTTCATTAACAGTTGTCTTCCCTCAATACCACTCAAGATCAGATGGCTGGCCAGAAAAGATCAGCTACAGATAGGGATCTCTGGCAATGAGCGAACCAACTCAGCAGGAACCGATTGTGAAACAAATAGGCAGGAAGAAATGGAGGTGGATTGGCTGGCCATACTCTCAGAAAACAAAACATCATGTGACATCACTGGACAAGCCATCGCTCGAGTGGAACCCGACTGAAAGGGAAGCGGCGAGTTGGTCGTCAGTGTGAGGGTGGGTGGCTTAGAGGGGGTCATGTGAAGAGGAGATGAAAACGTGTGGACAGACTTGGAGCCAGGTGAAGACTGTAGCAGAGACCTGAAGGCAATGGGGACGCACGGCTGAAGCCCTATGTTCCTCTAGGAATTAAAGGATACAGTAACAATAATATTATATATATATATATATATTGATTTACTGAATCACAAATTTGGTACATTATAGGTACCACCAAAAGGCTCTCCACGCAGAATCTAATAGTGTGAAGACTAGGACAAACAAGAACAAAACAAGTGGTTGTCTTAAAGAGCTATCCCTTGAGCTTTTGACTTGAAACTTAATCCACGAGATAATAAATAGATTAGCGTCTGGGGAGCTACGTTCCCATTGTTTCCGGTGTCCAAAACAGACTAATACAGCATTCGATCCTATCGGACTCTGGAACTCTTGTACACTATAGGTTTGTTAACAGGGTTTTCTAGGTACCCTAAGTAGATCAGCATGTCCACCAGCTCGCCAGAAGTTCGCATTGGCCCTTTCACTTCTATGAGAAACAACCCAGCTGCGCAAAGGCAGTGAATAGGACTTACTTCGTAGAGACCATGAACGCGTGGGGCCTACATAAGATCATTTGGAGAGAAACACCGAACTCCACCCATCCACCTGGCTTCACCAGGTCGTTTACTCCACAACTACTTGCATTTGCACATAATTGCAATAAACTGTGCTCGAAACGTCATCAGTAAATATTGCTGTTTCTAACACTGTGAGGCTTTATCAAAATAAATTTTACCCATAATGGAATTGTACTATATACCACAGTGCACAAGTTTTATTCATATATATTAATTGATAGTAAGCCACATCTTTTATATGGAAGCTAATGATGCTACCTACCACTTTGTCTGATCTTCCTGGTTGTGTGGAGCAGTGTCCGAACCTGTGACCAAATGATTTAAAGTCGAGCACCTTAATCTCCACACATATATGCCTGTATACCCCAAATATTCACCAACCTCATTCAACAGCTGTACGACAACGGCACATGTCAAGTGATCCACAACGGAAAACCCAGCCAGTCGTTTGGAGTAAACACTGGAGTCAGACAAGGGTGTTTATTATCACCAATAATATTCCTAATTGTGGTGGACTGGATTATGCGTCGTCAGATAGTGGGAAACGAGAGGGCAGGGATATCCTGAACCGACGTGAAGAACCTAGAAGACCTGGATTTCGCGTGTGGATGATTTATGTTTGATGTCACACAAAATCGAAGACTTACAAGCGAAAACCGACAAACTGGTCGAAGAAGCAGCCAGAGAAGACAGGACTCCAGGTGAACATAGACAAGACGGAGGTTATGGAAATAACCAACCAACCAACAACAACAGCAGCAGCAACATCCAGTGCCAATCACCATCAACGGGAGGGATTTGAAAGAGGTTACTTCACTCACTTATCTAGGGAGCATTGTCTCAACTACAGGCAGGTGGAACGGACGAATATGTCAAATCGAGAATCGGGAAGGCGAGAAACACATTCATCAACCTGAAACTAATCTGGAAATCTTCGTCACTCAACTCAGCACCAACAACAAAATTCGGATTTTCAATACAAACGTCAAGTCAGTTCTTCTATACGGATCAGAAACTTAGCGGCGGGTGACAAAGAATATTTCCAACAGCCTGTTGCAGACCTTTATCAACAACTGTCTTCGTTCTATACTGAAGATCAGATGGCCGGAAGGAACAAGAACCAACAAGGAACAAACTATGGGAAGAAACAAAAGAAGAACCAATCGCCCAACAAATATGCAGGAGAAAGTGGAGATGGATTGGACACTCACTCGCTGAGGAGACCGTTGGGTGACATCGCGCGTCAGGCCAATGCTCGAGTGGAACCCGAAAGGGAAGCGGCGAGTGGGATGTCCGATTGTGACATGGAGGAGATCGTGTGAAGAGGATTTGAAACAGTATGGACTAACATGGATGCAGGTGAAAAATACAGCAGAAGACAGAAGCAAGTGGAAACGTGCAGTTGAAGCCCTATGTTCCAATAGGAACCCAAGGGTACAATAATAATAATGATAAATATTCTTCTTCTAATTCCTATCTAAATCTTATTTCAAACATTTTCTGCATAAGAGACAATATAATAAAGGAGGGGAGTGTAATCATTCTTGACCTATTGTAGTCTTAACTGGTCATTTTGATTTATGGTAAGGTAAACTGTCTAGTTACATTTGAATGAATCCCCATGTTTGCTGGACAGGATTAGATTATGTGTACGTTCATTCATTTATTTTAAATATGCATATCTCCAGTGCACCGATGAGCAACAAAAACAGGATTTGAACGCAAGCTACAAGACACTGAACAAAAGAGTAAAGAAGAGTACCAGAGAAGACAAAAGAAAGTACTATGAAACCATGGCAAGTGAGGCAGAACAAGCTGCAGGCAAAGGAGACCTCGCAACACTCTACCAAACTACTAGGTACCTATCGGCAGCAGCATCAAAAATAAGATCCGGATTTTCAACTCCAATGTGAAGTCAGTCAGGGCCACTCACTATACGGATCAGAGACTTGCACTGCGCGTCATAAAGTGCATCTCAAACAAACTACAGACCTTCATTAACAGCTAGTTGTCTTCGCTCAATACCACTCAAGATCAGATGACCGGCCAGAAAAGATCAGCAACAGAGAGGGATCTCTGGCAATGGGCGAACCAACTCATCAGCAGGAACCGATTGTGAAACAAATAGGCAGGCAGGAAGAAATGGAGATGGATTGGCTGGTCATTCTCTGAGGAAACAAACCATCAAGTGAGTGACATCACTAGACAAGCCATTGCTCGAGTGGAACCCGGAAGGGAAGCGGCGAGTCGGTCGTTAGTGGGAGGGTGGGTGACTTGGAGGTCATGTGAAGAGGAGATGAAAACGTGTGGGCAAACTTGGAGCCAGGTGAAGACGCTAGCAGAGAAGCGAACGCAATGCAGACGCACGGCTGAAGCCCTATGTTCCTGTAGGAATTAAAGCATACAGTAATAATAATAATAATAGTAATAATAATAATAATAGTAATGATAATAATATCACTCTACGACTAGTGAAATCGGAAATCGTCACTTTTATGGGATTTAATTTAATTTTTTAAATTTACTACGGCTATCTCCTACGGGAGGATGAGCCGGCTTCATGAACATCTCGAATCATCGCTGCCCAAGCGCGGCGATCTGATGTAAGGTTTTGCGATAGGGTTATCCAATTCTTGTTCCACAGACGGAGTCCGTAGACGGTTTGTAGCCCCAGGCACTCCATATCAGCCCTGACTGTACTGAGAGTTCATGAAGGTTCGTGGGAATTTGGTACGAGTGATGTCCCCAGAATCGCTTGGCCTTTTGTTTGAGAGTGCAGCTCTAGCCTTTACACAACCAAGTGTGACCTACAAGGCAGTAGGAGTGGAGTAGGGAATCCACTATCCATTGGCAGCCGGTGACCGGAGTTCCGTTCATACGCCTTTTTGAATGGGGTCAGACATCCAGGACATCCAACAAGCCCTTTGTCCATACGTCTTCCGGTGAGCTCCAGTGAGCTTCATACGCCAGTCGTTGGAGATTTGGAATCAGGGTTTAGCCATCTCCCCTAGACTGTCATCCAATGGACAGTCAACCCGGTGAAGAGCACCGGGTATCCGCTTTCGCCCTCTCACTTTGGTGAAAAACACCTCCGCCACGTGAAGGCAGTGAGTAGGACTTCCTCAGGAGAGGCTATGTAAGACGCCCGGTCATATGGAAGCATTTCAAGAGGTGTTCGGAGGGGTGGCTAACCCGCAGCGCAAGGCACCCACCCCGGACCATCCTGAGGCTTTGGATTGTCATGCAGTTACTCATCTTAGTGCTTTCTCATGGCGAATGTCACATATCTATAGATTAACTGGTTAGCACTCACTATAGTGTAGTGTACCCGAAATATTTCATTTGATTTAACACTTGAATATGAATCAAACATGATCTGTGAGACTTTTTACAGATAGTTATTCGGTTGAATCCACGATGTGCATGTCGTCCTATTTTTGTGACTTGTTACCTGGATGTACCTACCTGCTACCCCCACTGAGTGATGGTGTTTCCACTGAAACTTGAAACCAGCACCTCTCATTTTGAATGCCAAAGCATTATCCATCACATCACTTGGGCTATAAGACTCATTGGTTGTAATTTGAGCGATTTTTAACTAATGAGCCGTAGCTTTAGGGCAATATGGGGGAGATAAGGCATTGTTTCGCAACAGAAGTGACCTTTAACGGACAATCGGATATTTTTCTTGTGTAATTTGGCGAATACTGTGGGCACGTTTTGTATTTATACTGAAATCTAGCTAACTGTTAATCCATAAATGCTGCTCACACTTTCCAAGTACTCGATTTATAGTTTATATTGATTATTTAGCGGTATCGAAAGTATTTGGAGGAAAACTATCCCTAGTTGCTTACTTTTCTTGATTCTCTTTAGTCTTTTTTTTAATCTAACACTATTGAATTTATAGCACTGTTCCTGTTCACGAGATGAAATTATGTCAATAACATCAAATCTTATATGGGGTGAATCGAGCAGACCTATAGCTTTGCATGCTTTAGGTAAGTTGTCCAATATTATCAATAGACTTACTGTGTGTAGCCGTTTATGTTGATGTATATATACGCCTTGGTGGTTCAGCGTTGGTATACTCGCCAACCACCACGTGTTACAGGGTTAGATCCTTAATCTTACTTAACCAGTAGTAAGCCCAGGGAGTAAGGAAGGTTGACTATGAGGCTAGCAACCGCCCCTCCGCCCCCCTTTCGTAAAAGGAAGAATACCTCCACTGCTACAGAAACTTCAAACCTCAAGCTTGAAGCCCTGCACGAATTTCTTATGAACACACAGGTTTGGCTTCTTCAGGTGGATTCCGATGGCCTTAGGTGTATGTAGAAGACGACTTAGTAAAGCGATAAAAAAACTTCAAATGATTTATTAATATCAACTTTATGCTCACTAAGGGTTGCTAAAACAGGGCTAGATTGCTCTAGCATGCACGATTGGGTTCGGAAATCTGATGATGAACCTGCTTAATTATACTCCCAGTGTAGCTAGCACCACAACTGGTCTAACTGATAGCTACGCATAGAGAAGGTAAGATTGAGTAGTTTATTTCCATTTCTCGAACATAAAATTGAAGTTATAGGATTTTCATCATGAGCTGACATTAGTTAGAGAACCATTGAAAAACCTGGGAGTACTAGACAGCTGTTTCGTCCTAACTTGGGACTCTTCAGCAGTACGCACCCACCGGGATTCGAACCCAGTACCTTCTGGTTACAAGGCTAGCTCGTATACCATTAAGCCACTGGGACCCGATCCAATGGCCAGCTCATGAATTCTAACTTCTACCAATTCACGACATAGCGCGACTCCTAGCCAATGTCTTCGGCGAGTATTTGTCCTCACACCCGACCTGCTGCACCCTACTGGTCACGACTTCTCACTAGAACCCCAGGTAACTACCTACTTGAAAAGATAGTCTACCTCCGCTGCAGTGAATGTTATTTCTACTACTGCATTCTTCAGGCTCTGTGTTACTTTTTCACTTAGCTTATCGCCAAGGAACCGCAGTTTTATGAACAAGAGTTTCTTTGGAGCTGTTACTATACTGACTTGACATAGTGCTAAATTCATGTTTTTATCAATGAAATCCGGATAACCATCTTTAGTGAGTATTTCTCTGATAATCTTAAGCTCCTCATTGAGACAGACATTTGATCAGATTATCCCAGCTCTATGAACCAAGAACTTAAATAAGTTGCGTCCATATTCCAAGGTGCAAAACACTCCTATGTACCATGCTCTTTCCTGGTCAAAAAGACGTTTAGGAATGAAATACTAGTATTCCTGACTAATTTGGCACTCACGACCCCACTGCACATCGTACTCGAAACCTTTAGGATACGGGGTTAACATTTTGACTATTCAGTCACTTAAACGGGATTCTAACTTGTGTCAATTTTCAGCTTTCGGCCCCACCTCCGGTCAGTGTCACCGGCGAGTATTTGTCCTCATGCCTGACCTGGTTCACCTCACTGAGCACGAATTCTCAGCAGAACTCCAAGCAACGCCATCCTTAAGAGTTAGTTTGTATGGATTTGATTTGTTTCCAGTTTGATCACGGATTGATGTCAGTTAGAGAACTATGCGCTTGTGGTCCCAATAAAATCACGAATTGGTAGAAGTTGGAATACACAGGTCTTTGGATCAGGTCCCAGTGGTTGAGTGGTGTACTAGCTTGGCTTTTAACAGGGCTTGAAGCTCTTTGAGTGAGTACTGCACTGAATAGTCTCAAACTGGGATTGAACAGCTGTCTGGTGGTGGTACTCCCTGGTTTTCAGTGGTTCTTTGAATGACATTATTCCGTGATAAACTGAGATAATTATTTTTTACTGTGTACACTCCTAATACGCTTAGAATATCATCCAGCCTAGAGAATACTAAATTTTTTAAATCATGGAAAATTCCCATTGTAACATATAGAAAATCAAAACAAGTGATCCATTCAGCGAAGAGACTCTTTTCAACGAATTTATCATCAAGCTGTACAATCGTATATATATAGTTTTTAAGAAGTTATATCCGGTGAGGGAATTGAATCATAGGTGTGAATGCATAAAATAATAATAATAATATGAAATGCAATTAAAACTAAAATGTTTGTGATTATAATCGTAGTTAAATGTCAAGTGGCAAAACAAATTAATGTCATATATAGAATAATTCATAGGATGGATAGAACTTGAAAAAGGATGTGCAATTATAAGATTAGTAGACAAATCGAATAAAATAAAAACGTTACGTAATATTGTGTGAAATTTAATAGCATATAATTTAATGTTGTAAAAAGGAATTGATTTAGAATGACAAATGGAACAAGTGAAATAATACCGGGGACAGTTCAAAGTGACAGTAGTAATAGTAACAATTGACGTAATAAGGAAGAGTATACAAATTGAATAGACAAAATGAAAAAATGAAAATTGGTAGAGCTAATATATGATTGGGAATTACCATACTTTAGCATAGAGGGATTAAGACCATGAAAGTTGGAGGGGTTGAACGAACTTTTTCTGTACACAGAGATCTGTCTGGCTTTTCTGTTTCGATAGCCAAAGCTTCAGCAATACAGATGAGTCGGGTACGTAGGGATTTGGGTAAATTACTCTTTGCCTTGTAGATGACTTTGAAAGCGGAGGCTATAGAGATAGGGTGATCATTATCGACCAGATGTTCAATGATCGCGCTTCATATTGCTCCACTTCCACCTTTTCGTAACCATGCAGGATAGTGTTCTTGCACCTTCTTGGACAAAACTCGCGTTGAACGACCGATATACCTAGCTCCACACGAGCAGGTGAATTGATAAACGCACATAGAGTTGGTCAGCAGCGGGATCTTGTCCTTCAGTTTATCGAACAGTAATGGTCGACTAGTAAAGGCTATTCTCAGGGAGGCAGGAGGGAATGTTCTTTTCAGGGACTGTGATATCCTTCGTTTTATGATATCGGAAGCTAATTCCCCTTTGAATTCCAAGCTCATGTAAAGTATTTTCTTGGGTACGGTTGATAAGTCACGTTTTTTAGGATTTGAATGAATATTCTTGTGGCAAGCGACCGGATCAGGTTTCGTTTTCGACCAATGGATATCCAGCTGTAGAAATTTGTCAGTTGACCATTCCATGACAGCTTACGATAAATCGATCTTTTCAGAGTTCCATCGGTCCTTCGCTGAATCATTTGTTTTGATTTTCTAAAACACTAAATTTATTCACTTATTCTTTCTTTTTTATTTTCTTCACTTTTGTTGTTGTTGTTGGTGGTGTTTAGATCTTTTAAGTGATCTGGTAGCTGTCTATCCTTTAGAAGTTGCTGTACGCGCAAATCGTTTAGATCCAATTATCGATACAATTGGTTTATTACCATTGAGTATATCAACTGCCTTGGTGCATGCATTATTACCACTTATAAGAGCTGGAAATTTATTAGAATTGAATAGCAGCAGCACCTTTAACAAAGATGCTACTGATGATGATGACAATAACAATAATCAAAATAATCCATTCATTGAAGTACGACGAAGATTAATAGCTAATTTATGCCAAGCAGCAAATTCGCCTAGAATACCTAGTCGATGTACAGCAGTAGCTTGTTTTATGCTTCTATTGAAACATTTAAAGGTTAGTTTCATGTTATGTTACTGTATATACACAGAAAAGTATTGTACAGTTTTCAAGTTAAGAAAATAAATACTGGAGGTTTTAGGATTTATTTATTTATTTAAACGCAGAAAAAACTTGGTATAATATGGCACCAAGAAAGATGCGCCACACAATAATAATAAAACAACATGGATTAAAAGTAAAAATATAAGTAGAAAACGGATAAAGAACTTCATCTGGAAGGAAAACAGTCATGTTTAACAAGTTCAAACAGTATTCATTAACTATCATCGGGAAGGGAAGAAAGAAGGAAATTGCAACACGTTCTCCATTGATTACGATTCTTGGCCATATCCGATAACGTTTCGAGCCATCGATCCGAGCTACCCTGCGGACCCCAACCAGGGAGTCGTGACGCACCAACCGATGCTAATCTAGCACAAATATCCTTCGTCCGACGACGCCACGTCATGGACTGACCACCCCTCCGCCTTTTCCATCCCGTCCCAGGGCTAGCGAACAGAGACCTGTATGAAAGCCTCTGGGATGACATTCGCAGCACATGTCCAAGCCACCGGAGCCGGTGTTTCCAGATGACGACACTCAATGATTGGTGATCTCCACTGTGTTCAGACACACGCCGCCGAACCTCAGAATTACTCACGCGATGATGCCATCGAACGCAAGCAATCCTGCGGAGACAGCGACGATCGAACACGCAGAGTCACCGCACATCCTCAGCTCGGAGAGACCAGGTTTCACAGACGTAGAGCAAGACATCCCGCACCGAAGCACTGTATACCCGACATTTGACAGCCAGGCTAACGTGGCAACGGCGCCAGAGGTGGCACAAGTTGATGTATGCCACCCTAGCCTTCATTATACGGTTGGAAATCTCATCCGTCACCCCTCTGCCAGCACTCACACAAATACCCAGGTACACAAACTTATCAACAACTTCAAGCGGTTCACCCGCAAGAATGAGTGCAGGTACAGGCTCCTGGTTTTCGGATAATCTTTCTAAAAATTACGAAATGTATTCACTTATTATTATTATTGAAACACAAACTTGGTACATTATGGGCACAAAGAGATACACCGCACACAATATCATACTTTGTGCGAGGCCCAGGATACAACTCGGATTGCTAAACTGAAACACATAGTTTTCTTAAGGGGCCACCTCTGGTGCATTTGACTTGAAGTCTGATTCATAAGATAGTGAAGAATCGTCAGGAGCTACTTTCCTTTAGCTTCCGGTGATCACAGTAGGTTCATATATGTCATTTGATCTATTTGGATTCTGCAATTCGTGTACAAATAGGTGATTTACAGTTCTGCTAAGTAGACTTTCGATGTCTGCCAGTCTTGTTGCAAGCTCTAGACGTTCTCGTTCATCCTTTAACTTTTGTGAGGAACACTCTTTGCGTAAAGGCAGTGAATCGGTCGGTTTTCGACATAGAACTTTGCACTGATGTGCGGCTGTTCAAGTCGCCACACTCCCCACATGTAGCACACAAAGTAAGAGAAGAAAGTAGGAGAAATGCATAATATAGACAGCAAACAGAGGTGTGAGACAAAGGAATAGTAATAACGGAGAACAAAACAGTTTCATTGGAAATCATAAGTCACAAGGAGTGGATGCATCTGCTCTAGCCACTGAGAACGATTTTGATCCATATCACCAATTGTTTCCAACCATTGTTTTTTACTGTCCCGACGACCCCAAACAGTCGGGAAGTGTACACCTTCCTACGTTACTTAGACTAACTGTTGTGGATTCTATTGACTGTTGCTAATGACCAGAGACTGTTGGTGATATAGCTTGAAATAGTTCTAGATGGAAACCTCGTTTTTTAAATATTACAATACAATTACTGTCATTGCGCTATTTAATTATTTGTCTGTAATTGTGGCGTCTGCTTTGCGCCATCTAAGTGAAAAGTACTGTTGCAGGATTGGCGGGAGCCTGTACCTGCACTCATCCTCGCAGGTGAACCGCTTGAAGTTGTTGACAAGTTCTTGTACGTAGATGGCTGTATGTGAGTGCTGGCGGAGGTGTGATGGACGAGATCTTTAGTCGTAAAATGAAAGCTAGGGTAGCATACATCAATTTGGTCCACTTCTGCAGCCTGGCTATCAAAGGTCAGGTTTACAATGCTCCCATGAGAGACAGTTTTACACTACACTTTGGATCACTTCTAGCGCCGTCGTGACGTTAGCCTGGCTGTTAAAGGTTAGGTTTGCAGTTGTTCAGTGCGTGCAGTATTGTTCTACGCCTGTGGAACGTGGCCCCTTCAAGCTGAGGATGTGCTGTGACTCTGCGTATTCGATCATTGCTATTTCTGTAGGATTGCTTGCGTCCGATATCATCGTCCTGTGAGTAATTCTGAGGTCTATCAGTTTGTATTTGGACACGACAGAGGTCACCTTTCATTGGATGTGGTCATCCGAAGTGATGTTATTTTTTTTACTGGGTGGGGTTGCGCGCAACCTTCCCTCTTTCCTGGGCTTATTACCTGCTTAGTGAGGTTTAGAAGTGCATCGACTGGGGGTCGAACCCCGGGCTACGTACGTAGTTGCCGAACATATAGATCAAAGGGAAATTCAAGATATAATCTCCTCAAATAATCACAGACTACTTAGAAAAAGTTGTATCAAGTAGTTTATCCTAGTGTGTATTTGGCGTTTTTTATGATTGGCAACTGCTACTTATTAAAGGGTTATTGTGTCGACCTTCTCTTGTTCCAACAAAGTTTATAGGCACAATAGAAGAGTCGTCTTATAATTTATTATTATTATTATTAATATTAGTATCAGTATTATGAACGTTAACGAAAATGATGTTTTTTTTACATGGAAACTTTTATTCAGGTTTCAGTATCAGCATTTCGTTCAGCGTCACAGTTATCTTCGTCATCGAATTCGCTTTCTCAACCTTTTCTTTGTTCACAATCACAGTCAACTCAAAGGAACCCGTTAGTATTGTTTAGTCAGTTAAAATCAACACAGGTAATTTATACAATAGAATTTGCTTTCTTCTGTTAATATTATTATTATTATATCATTAGAAATAATCACTCAATTTTTGAATTTTATCTGTGAGCTCTTTGGGAAGTTGTAAACTTTATCACTGGGACCCTCCAAAATTCGTGTTGTGAATCCTTAACTGGTGACTCCTGGGGTGGGTGCCTTGCGCTGCGGGTTGGCCACCCCTCCGCACACCTCTCGAAATACTCCCATATGACCGGGCGTCTTACATAGCCTCTCCTGAGAAAGTCCTACTCACTGCCTTCACGTGGCGGAGGTGTTTTTCACCAAAGTGAGAGGGCGAAAGCGGATGCCCGGCGCTCTTCACCGGGTTGACTGTCCATTGGATGACAGTCTAGGGGAGATGGCTAAACCCTGATTCCAAATCTCCAACGACTGGCGTATGAAGCTCACTGGAGCTCACCGGCAGACGTATGGACAAAGGGCTTGTTGGATGTCCTGGATGTCTGGTCCCATTCAAAAAAGCGTATGAACCGAACTCCGGTCACCGGCTTCCAATGGATAGTGGTCTCCCTACTCCACTCCTACTGCCTTGTAGGTCACACTTGGTTGTGTAAAGGCTAGAGCTGCACTCTCAAAGAAAAGGCCGAGCGATTCTGGGGACATCACTCGTACCAAATTCTCATGTAACTTCATGAACTCTCTTACAAACGCGCCGCGCCTGGGCAGCGATGATTCGAGGTGTTCATGAAGCCGGCTCATCCTCCCGTAGGAGATAGCCGAAGTAAAGTAAGTAAGTACTCCTGGGGACTTGTTAATAAGGCCATTTTCAGATAAAAAATTAATTTTAAAAGCGTTGAAATCAACCCCTCCCCCCATCCATAGTTGTATAGAAAGATGAAATAAGAATGTGGACATTAGTGACACCTGACATGTGCCATTGGTTGTTGTCCCTCCAGGCGATAGCTCTATAACCGGCTTATTAAAACTTGTACCTTTCTTCTCGTCTCTATCCACTACTGTTACTTTCTGTAACCACTCACTTCAGTCAGTATTATTTGCTGGTTAGACTAAGATAAGTGTGCAGGTGGTTCTGTGGGAGAATGCTAGCCGACCACAGCTGGCCGTCGCACTCTTAAATCTCGCTTAGCAGGTAGTGAAACTGGAAAAGAAGTAACGTTGAACGTCGGACTAGCGACTTCATCCTGTACAAACAACACCGTGACTACTGAAACTTGGAAGTTTAGAGCTCTATGTTCCACTCGGAATGCATCTGTCAACCGTGAATTGTTATCGGTTGATGTAAGCGGCTAGTAGGCTATACGGGAGCAATATATACCGTGCTGTTGTTTTCCTCATTTGCTAGACACTACATGTATATTGTCATACAAATCAAATATTGTGCTTTCACCTTGAAATTTATACCTTGCAAATAACTAAGTGTATTCCGTACGTTTGTAATTGTCAGTCAATTTTGTCTTTTATCTGAGAGATTGAAAGCTCTTCGGTAAATGTCAGCGAAGCAAAACTGATTAGCTTTAGATAATGACAGTGTGGGTCAGCTGGATTTTTCTGTACTCTCCTCAGCTGTGTGTTTGTTACCAGCTACAAGGCTTAGTACGATCCGATTGTAGACATTAAACTACCTAAGCGGGGTGTCATTCGAAGCCGGGATCGGTTACCTGAAAAGCAACTGCTAAAGTCTATAAGCCACATTTCCACTGAATGAGATGAAAGATAAGGATTTTCATTTTATTGTCGGTTTGTTCTCTGATCTGGACAGTTAAATTTCACATTAACGCATCCAAATCAGAGAATACAAGAATATCAATAACATCCATCTGCGATGATCCATAAATAGTCTGTATTATATCGAAGATGAAGATTTACCTCATCTCAGTGTTGCAATCCTATTTAAGATAAACAGAATGAAGCCAATTATAAACGGTGTAAAGATAAGAGTGATTAGTTAACATTGTTACTGAATTAACTAAATGAATTTATCGCATGATATCCAACAATTGTTTTCATTACCACCTACATTCACATTTGTGGTTTATGGATTATTATTATTGTTTCTTTTAATTCCTAGAGGAACATAGGACTTCAGCCGTGCGTCTCCATTGCGTTCGGTTCTCTGCTAGAGTCTTCACCTGGTTCCAAGTCTGCCCACACGTTTTCATCCCCTCTTCACATGACCTCCTCCAAGTCACCCTTGCACTGACGACCAACTCGCCACCGCTTCCCTTTCGGGTTCCACTCAAGCAATGACTTGTCTAGTGATGTCTTTTAGACGTTCAACAAGTGCCATATTTCTTGACTTGAAGGCGGCCTTCGACTCCGTGGATCGAGAGGTTCTATGGCAATGTTTGACTATGAAGGGAGTGCCAGGAAAGTACATTGCACTAATCAAAGCACTCTACTCAAACTCACGTAGCTGTGTAAGGGCTTATGGGGAATTGTCATCTGAATTGATTACATCCAGTGGTGTCCGTCAAGGATGTCCACTTTCCCCTTTTCTGTTTAACTTCATCATAGATATGCTAATGGAAGTATCCTTAACTGAACTTAACGACGCAGGAATCGACTTGTTACCAGGGAATAGTCTTATAGACTTAGAATACGCAGACGACATAGTCCTGTTAGGGGAGGATGCTGACAAAATAGAGCAGAGTCTTCTGAACACATTGAGCAGCAATCTTCGTATGTTTGTCATGCGATTCGCCCCTGTGAAATGTAAGATGCTGCTACAGGACTCGACTACGTCAACTCCTAGCTTAGTGATAGGGAGTGAAGTGATAGAACATGTTGACCACTTCACCTATTTGGGAAGTTGTATCAGCACCAACGGATTGATTGGTGACGAAATCACAGCACGGATCCAGAAAGCTCGAGCTGCTTTCGCTAACTTACACCGTCTCTGGCGTAGGCGTGACATCCGACTGTCAACCAAGGGACGTGTATACTGCTCAGCACTTCGCTCCGTCCTTCTCTATGGCAGTGAGACGTGGCCATTGAGAGCGGAAGACATGAAGAGATTGTCTGTTTTTGACCACAGATGTTTACGATCTCTTTTTCACGTTAGGTGGTATAATAAGGTAAGTAATGTTGACGTTAGGCGTAGAGTGTTGGGCAAAGAGGGAAAATCACTGGAAGAGTCTATGAAGTTACATAGATTGAGATGGCTAGGTCACGTGCTACGCATGCCTAAACATCGCCTCCCCCACCCCGACGGGCATTACTAGCTGATATAGATGGAGGTTGGAAAAGAGTAAGTGGTGGCCAAACAAAAACATGGCATCAATCAACCCATGAAATCCCTGAAAGTTAAACTGAGTCAAGTCAGGTAGGGAGATGCAGACTTCCGGGTTGATTGAGGCCCTCGGGACTCTAAGAATCAATGACTGGAGACAATAGGTGACAAGGCTCAAAATCGTTGTTAATGGCTTACGCAGATGTATTCAGTCTCTGTAATCTTTCATATTCCTTTCTACCATTACTCATTCTGTTTCACTCTTATATTTGTCAAAACTCTATTGATTCTCTTCTCTCATTTTCCTGTCTACCTTTATGTGCTATTTATAACGTGGCAACTCGAACTGCTGGACTTCGGTGCCAAGTTCTATGTTGAATCCAGCAGCAGCTAGTGATGTCACTTGATGGTTTGTTCCCTCAGAGTATGGCCAGCCAATCCATCTCCATTTCTTCCTGCCTATTTCTTTCACAATCGGTTCCTGCTGAGTTGGTTCGCTCATTGCCAGAGATCTCTCCCTGTTGCTGATCTTTTCTGGCCGGCCATCTGATCTTGAGTGGTATTGAGCGAAGAAAGTGAGCTGTTGATGAAGGTCTGTAGTTTGTTTGAGATGGTTTTTATGACGCGCAGTGCAAGTCTCTGATCCATCCGTATAGTGAGTAGCACTGACTAGCTTCACATTGTAGTTGAAAATCCGGATCTTATCTTCGTTTTGATGGTGAGTGCTGAGTGTTGACCTCCACAGAGACTTGAGAGTAGTGAAAGCTTGTCTTGCTTTTCCGATTCTTGCTTTGATATCCTCGTCAGTTCCTTCTTCCTGTAGTTGAAACGATGCTTCCCAGGTCGGTTGGTGAAGGAGGTTGTTTCTTACAGGTTCCTCCCAATTATGCTGATCGTTGTCTGTTGTTGTTGTTCTTGCCCAGGAATCTTCATTACCTCTGTTTTCTCTATGTTCACCTGAAGTCCTATCTTCTCTGGATACTTCTTCTGCCAACTTGTTGCTTTTCGCTTGCATATCTTCCAGTTTGTGGGAAATCAGACATATATATGTCATCGGCGAATGATGATATTTTGCAATCGTGGAACCAACTTAAAGAGGACTGCAGATGACAGGATGAAACGGAGGTGTTCTGTTGAATCCCTGTGTTCCACTTAGAACTCAAGAGTATAATAATAATAAATATAGACACCTTTCTATGAATGCACTGGACAACCACCTTTCACCTTCATATTCCACTTTCTATTTATCACAAACAGAACTAAGGTGGAATGCTGCTGTGTATTCGCTAGTATATGTGGATACATGTTCGATGTTCACGTTATGTTACATATGTGAAAGATTATATGTGAAGCTAAACTTTTTACTTTATTTAGTCCTCTTAGATTAAGATCTATTGGGAGATGTGTTCCGTTGTTGTTCTAAGCACTAGACTTTCAGCTATAATGAGTCCACAGCTCGAATCTCGCTCTCCGTACTTCACTGTCGGTAAATGAGTAGTCATTCAATAAATTTGCCTCACAGACTGAACGTGGAAGTTCTGTTCCAGATAACTGTGAACGGTAATGATTCTTTAGAATATAAGTTTGATCACTAGTTGACAATAGATAGAGAACTATTAGACAGTTGTTTCACCCTACTTTGGAATTACTCATCAGTGCGCACCCTCTGGGGTTCGGACCCAGGGCATTCCGGTTACAAAGTGATGTCTTAGACCATGCAGTCATTGGGACGTGATCCAGTGGCCCATGAATTTCAACTTCTGCCAATTTGAGACAAATATAACTTTGGAATTTGTTTTGTAAGCATGTGGTATTCGTAATTTGAAACGAGACAAAGCGGTAGGACCCGACGGAATTATTTCGGAGGTGTTTAAATATTGGGGGTGACATACTAGTATGTAGTTTAACTAAGGTACTAGGTAACCTTTGGGAATCAGAGACGGTTCCATCAGACTGGGGTAATTCACTTATTATGCCAATATTCAAGAAGGGAGCAAGTCCTCATGTGATAATCATAGAGAGATCAGCCTGATGAACATATTCATATTCCTTTCTACCATAACTCATTCTGTTTCACTCTTATACTTGTCAAAACTCGATTGATTCCCTTCACTCATTTTCTTGTCTACCTTTGTGTGGTATTTGGAAAGTGGCAACTGGAACTGCTGCACTTCGGTGCAGCCAAGTTCTATGTTGAATCCAGACAGACAGGTATTCTAGTGCTTTTCGTTTTTCTGTTCTTCCCACTAGACTTGGGTAAGTTGTGAATATGTAGTTAGTACTAATAGTTGTCCTATAAGTTAATTTTGGTGCAGTTCATATCATTAAAAACTAGACCAGTGCTTTTTGGACTTTCGACTACATTAGGAGCTAGCTGTAGCCTATTGGTCTTTTTTCAATTCATTCATTTTCACTCCTTTGCTTTCCTAGTGGAACACAGGGCTTCATGCTTCAAGTTTTGAAGTTTCAATAGCGCTTGTGTTGTTTCCTTTGAAGGGTGAGGTTGCTACTCTCACACACTCAACCTTCCCTTCTTGGAATGCGTCAGTTGGAAATCAAACCACGAACCATGGACATGGCTGGTGGACATTCTACCACTGAGCCAGTGATGCATGGCTTATTGCTCTAGGCGCTTGAGTTTTAGTCGTTGGCTCATAGGTTACAATCCCTTGTCCACTAACCTAGGTTTGGAAAGCTAGGTAATAAATACCATTAGTCTTCACACGATAAGCCTGACTCATCTTCAATTACATTTTCGTGCTTATACATTAATGACGGCGTAAACTTATAAGTCGGTCAATAAAAATTAATGGAAGGCATCAGTCATGTATGTGCGTCGGTGGCATAGTGGTTAGGACGCTCGCCGACCATGCACATGGTCCGGGGTTCTATCCACGGCCGATGCACTCCTTTACCTCGCTAAGCCAGAAATAACGTTGGTGAAGAGGAAAGGTTGGGCATGAGGCTAGCAACCCCATCCTGTAAAATAAGCACTGCTACAGAAACTTCAAGCCACTAGCTTGAAGGCCTATGTTCCACTGGGGAACGTGAAGGAAATAAAAAAAATCAGTCATGTATCATTTGCCACCATCTTACCTTATTTATCTAGTGTGGATTACTCCGTGTATAGGTTGGGCTGCAGTTTATGAATTCCTTGTTTACCTTCATTTGTATATTTTCAGACGTGTTTATTTCTTCTCCTCTTGTCTCTCTACGTTTCCCGTTTTATTTTTGCTTTTTTCTAGATTGCTGACCAAGCTGTTCTTTTACCATGTGACATTGTACAGAATGAGGTGTTATGCACAGAAATTATTCGTATCCTTCATCGGGTTATATTTTCAGCATTTTTCCGTTCTCAATCAGGCAGTCTGTTGCAAGATCCAGAGAATATTGTCAAGTCTAATATATACTGGGTGAGTTTAGTGAATTCCCCTTTGAATGGCGAACAAATGGAATTTCAATTTAGTTGTATCCTAGAAAAATTCTTTGCACAATATGTCTGAATTTATCAGTTGAAGAAAAAGAAGAATGTTGTTCAACTACCACACCTGTTGTGCTTGAGAGCTAATGATGCTGCTGTTCTGCTGCCTGAACAGCGACATCTCAGGCGGTAAAAATTCACTAAGTAGTGTGACGCGATGTCCATTCTTAACATTAATAACAGCGTTGTTCTGTCTAACGTAACGTTCCGAACGGAACATGGAGAGTGGACACCATATATCTACATTTCATCTTGTTCTCTGCAGTCTTCTCTAACTGGCTCTACGGTCTCACATAAGCTGTTGTCTCCTTCATACACGTTCTCTCTCATGTTACCCTTGAACGTTCGACTCGTTTCTCATTTGGGTTCCAATCGAGGGCTGGCCTGGCTCATGATATCTTTCAATGGTGTCTTCAGCGTGTGTCCGATCTATCTCCTCACCTAGTTTACTAGCCGATTCTAAGCCGGGAGATATAGAAAAGGTTGGGCGTGGGTCTCACGAACCTACTCGGAAAAATGAACCTAATCCCCGCTGAAAACTCAACACAGAAAAAGTATAGAAAGTAAACTTATTCTTCTTTGGGATTGCAGAAAGGCAATGACGCAGGCTAGTGAAGGCTATCAAGAAGCCATCCAGCCTATGTATCTCCTTTCGATGATAGAGAGAATAAGCATGGGACATGGGGAATGTCCTCACGACGTTTGAAGCTAGGAAGGCTGCCAAGGAAATGAGATATTGCCTAAAGGCACTAGGAATCTGTGACAGCCGAATATTGCTTATTATATCTTTCGATAGATTAGAAACTGATTGTTTAGTTCAACAGTGTAAAAGATGACAAACCACATATCAAACTTACTCAGATTTTTGTTTAGGGTGTTCAGAACACTTTATAATTATCTTCACTCAAAAAGGAGACTACATCCTTTGCGTGCATTTTGCTATTAGCAGACCAAATTGTAAATGGGCGAAGCCGAAAAGTGTCTATAGCTTGCTGAAACCGATGGTGTCCTCTCTCCAGACATTATGATATGTTTCACGTAAAAATTAGTTTTATTGTTTCTTTTTACAAATAAAGTTGCTGCACGAAATGGCAGGAATTTTCTTTTGAATAGTTCTTTAAGTTATTTGGATCGGATAAGTATGCGGAAGATGTTTGGTTTAAAAATTTCGACTCCAGGAGAGACGAGTATATCAATTTCAGATATAAAATCTCTAAGCGGTTATGATTCATAAATGTTTCGCTCAATCGAACACGACTTACATTTTGACACAATATCGTCTTCTTTAATCTTCGGAATTTGGTTTCGTTCAACTGGATGGTATTATTGTAGGACTGCCAGGTTTTATAACAAGCTGACATCAGTTATATGATCGTTGGAGAACCAGGGAGTCTTAGTTTGGGACTCTTCACCAGCACTCATCCACCAGTGTTCGAACCTAGGACGTTCCGGTTACAAGGCGACCTCTTGGACCATTCAGTCACCGGGACTCTATCAAGTGGCCCATGAATATTCTAATTTCTGCCGATTAGCGATATATATGCAGTTCAACCTCCAGGTAATGTCATCGGCGAGTCACTTTTCTCTTAAATGACTCGGTATACCTTGCTGGTTACTTACTTCTTGAACTGATGTCAGCTCCTAATCAAACCGGTAACCAAATAAATACCTGCAAACCAACACTTGGCACGTAAACGTTTCATTGTTCATCTGGACAGCATATTCAGTGCTAACTTGAATGTGGAATCGAAGAGAATATAACAACACCCGATTTTTACTAGCCTATTTATTTATGCTACTATCACTGAACTCTAATTTATTATTATTATCATCATTTTTCCCTATTAATCTTTTTCAAACTGTCTTTTAGGGTTTTTGTGAAGTTGTAACACGTAATCGTGGCCTATGCCAACCTGTTTTGAATTTATACTTACGTCTACTTACTGGGTGTTTAGCACCGAATTTTCTGAAAACACTTAAACAACCTGGTACACAGAATTCGCTTACTCTTCTTACACCAAAGAATCCATCAGAGATTGATTTTATTCCTAGTCCACCATTTCTGCTAGACAAACTAATTGATTGTAATGCTACAAATGGAGAAGTTCAACGTAGTGAACATCCGGTAAGTGAAACATGCTATGCAAGTATTGGGTTTTGTTGAGATTGAGATTAATTCCTATGTAGATTTCTTCATTAATCAACATTAAATTGAAAATCACTGAAAGCCAGAAAGCACTCGACAACTGTTTCGTTTCACTTTGAGATCTTCATCAGTTCGTACCGAGGACTGAAGCGAAGAACTTCAGGTTATGAGGCTGGGCAGCTGACGACGCACCAGTCACTGGGTTGGTATTCAATACTGAAGAGTTACAAACTAGGGCGAAACGGCCTGATGATCATTCATCTGACTTAAGTATCTGACGAAATTCAAATTCGAATTTATTATTATTGTTATTATTTATTCAAACACAAACTTGGCGAATAATGAACACTAGGTGATGCTTCTGTTATATGTACTCGTCGTCGATAAGCTATGGGGCCGTTACCGATATTAGGGTGTGACCGAGTGTAAGTATACGCTAATGAGATATAACGGACGATAACGTACAGACTGCTGAGTACTAAATTTAGGCAACTCTAAACAATAGGAACCCAAAACGAAACGACCTACGAACGCACAAATGACCTTGAGCAACCGATCAGGTGACTTTTTTTTCCAGCAATAGGTTTTGGGGATATATGACACCAGCCTCCAGAAAGGACATATTGAGGCGACCCCTAAGCTCAAGGCATGTGTATTATTGCCTATTATCTAGCGCCTAGTGCTGCCTGGGACGACTATTGTCGTTTTTTTGAGCCCTCTGATTGGTCCTTGACAAGGTCATTTGTGCGTTCGTAGGTCGTCTCGTTTTGGGATCCTATTTTTTAGAGTTGCCCAAATTTGTCCTGACGCGAAGAAGGCAAATCAGAAGACCAGCCTGTTCACGATGATACGTGTATTTTCGATAAGGGAAATAACTGTCACACAGAGTGTCAGTGAAGTACGAAGGTGTGAGAGAGAGAGAGTGAGTTAGGAAGTGTACAATGCAAGAGTATAAATGAAAATGACTAATACATCCATGATCCAATCATAAGATAGACAGTAGTAGTTTTTCTTACCCTCATTGAATTCTGATTGGTTGTAATGTCATGTGACAAAAAGGTCATACATTGATTATACTAGTTAATGGACAGACAAAGCATATTGTGTGAGTTATAATGGAATATCGATCAAATACATGCACCTAGCAAAATATATCAGACTGTCAAAACAAAGGCAGACATCATGTGACTACATATCAGCTTCACACAAATTCCCAGTTTGTGTGTGAGGGCTTAGATTACTACCCGGACGTCCAGACCGAAGGAAGTGGTTGCCATTAGTGGCCATCCCACGAACCTTTGACTTGAAATCTGATCAAGAAGGCAGTGGAGCAGCATTCAAGAGCTACGTTTTCCTGCTTGTCTGTGACCACAAAAAGTTCATACGTCATTCAATAGTTTTGGATTCTGGAGCCTATGTGAATTAGAATCCGAAATAAGGGTTTCGCAGTTTGGTTGCAAGTGTCAGACACTCTCATTGGTCCTTTCATTTTTGTGAGGAACCCTCCCGTCCGTGGGGGTAGGGAACAAGACTTATAAGAGGCAGAAGCTATGAACGCTTAGCGCCATGACAGCATTTGGAGAGGAAGACTGGATCCGAACCACCCTCACCTGTGTTATTATTTATTAGTCATGTACTAGAGCAATTTTATCTTCAGCACTGCTTTGATTGATGTTAACCATTCGAAACGGAAATATGTTGACTTAAGTGGGAAGTATAATGTGTATTTCAATGAAAATTTCACTCCTAGGTGGTGAAGTAATTAAAGTTAGAATGAACAAAAGTAGTGATATCTTCAACTCAGTTCATCAGTTACCGACAATGAATCACACTTGTTTTGTCACAGCTGATTGATGATACTACCCAGTTTCCCAGAATATAAAGCAGGTGAATCAGCGGGATTGAAACTCCTGACCCATTCATTATATTGGTTGGAAGTTAAGTGCTTCAGGCAATGTGACACATCTTCACCATGTGTCGACATCAATTAAAGAATCATTGAAAAGACTGATTAGTGAACAAAGAATATTCTTTCGGATAACTACTTCGTCAGGTCCTACAGTTATATGTACCCATAATAATTAAAGAATTATTGTTTTTTTAGCAACATTAAAGTTTTACATAATGCTGAATCAATAATTTCGATAGATTACAGTTCAGAAGCACTTGAAAGTGATATAATATGCATAAAAATGTAATATCAGACCAAATATCAGATAAATTAAGAGACATACTGGAGAATTTGTGAATTTTTTAGGTTCCACAGCAAGCAAGCCACGGTAGCAGTAATGGCTGTACCTGATTCTTTTGCGCATATTCAGCTCCAATTGTTTGAAGCGAATTGCAATAGCCTTTACTGTCTAGTCAACAGCACTCAGCATCCAAAATGAGATCCGGATTTTCAACTCCAATGTGAAGTCAGTCAGTGCTACCCACTACACGGATGGATCAGAGACTTGCACTGCGCGTCATAAAGAGCATCTCAAATAAACTACACACCTTCATTAACAGTTGTCTTCGCTCAATACTCCGCTCAAGATCAGATGGCCAGCCAGAAAAGATCAGCAACAGGGATCTCTGGGAGAGAACCAACCAGGAAGCGATTGTGAAACAAATAGGCATAAAGAAATGGAGATGGATTGGCTGGCCATACTTTGAGAAAACGAACCATCAAGTGAGTGACATCACTAGACAAGCCATTGCTCGAGTGGAACCCGACTGTATTGGAAACGGCGAGTTGGTCGTCAGTGCAAGGGTGAGGGTGACTTGTAGGAGGTCATGTGAAGAGGAGATGAAAACGTGTGGGCAGATATGGAGCCAGGTGAAAACTCTAGCAGAGAACCGAACACAATGGAGACTCACGGCTGAAGCCCTATTTTCCTCTAGGAATTAAAGGAAACAATAATGATATAATAATAGTTTTCTATAGTGTGTGAGCCTTAGGGTGTATGTTAGATGCATCCCTTAAATAGCCATAGAGTAGAAATGATGAATGCAACGGTTTCTAAAATGCCACTAATGTAATTAATTATCCAGTTGGATTTATGAGTGATCATTGTTAACATTTTTGTGACGAGTTCTTGTATGCCTCCGTGGGTAGATATAGAGTGTTGTGCTTGAAGATACACTCAGTAGGCCATATAAACTGTCTTCTTTCTTACGTAATCTGAAATGGATGTATTACTGCAACGTTTTTGAAGGTGTCTCTATCATTCAGTTAGATAGATTTACGGCACACGTATAAGTGTTCAGTTTTACCAGTGTGATGTTACGATTGATGTTAAATAGTTTCTCATGCTTGTGATTATTATTATTTATTATTGTCCCCTTGGGTTCCTAGTGGAACATAGGCTTCAACTGCACGTCTCCACTTGTTTCTGTCTTCTGCTGTACTTTTCACCTGCATCCATGTTAGTCCATACTGTTTCAACTCCTCTTCACACGATCTCCTCCATGTAACCTCTTGCACTGACGTCCCACTCGCCGCTTCCCTTTCGGGTTCCACTCGAGCATTGGCCTGACGCGTGGTGTCACCCAGTGGCCTTCTCAGCGAGTGAGTGTCCAATCCATCTCCACTTTCTCCTGCATATTTGTTGGGCGATTGCTTTTTGTTTTGTTTGTTCCCATAGTTTCTTGTTGGTTCTTGTTCTTTCCGGCCATCTGATCTTCAGCATACAGTGAAGACAGTTGTTGATAAAGATCTGCAACAGGCCCGCCGCTAAGTTTCTGATCGATCCGTATAGAGGAACTGACTGACTTGACGTTTGTATTGAAAATCCGAATTTTGTTGTTGATGCTGGCTGAGTTGAGTGACGAAGATTTCCAGATTGGTTTCAGGCTGGTGAATGTGTTTCTCGCCTTCCCGATTCTCGATTTGACATCCTCATCCGTTCCATCTGCCTGTAGTTGAGACAAGGCTCCCTAGATAAGTGAGTGAATGAAGTAAGCTCTTTCAAATCCCTCCCGTTGATGGTTTTGATGCTTGTTAAGGCTTACATATAGTACTCAGTTGGAGGATAAACACGGTAAGAGTACATCAATTCCACTTAACATTACCTTTCTGATTTATTATATGTATATAAGGGCTTTTATAAAATGGTTAACATGTCTTTCTTCTATTTATTTGTTTTTCTCCACCTTATTCCCTCCCTTTTCTCTCAAAGGATATTTTAATCTGGTGTTTACAACTTCTGTTAACATTACCAATATTCAATGCCTGTTGGAGACGTTTACGTCTAAAAGATATTTCACGTTCTGCTGGTAGTGAATCCTCAGAGATATCATCATCATCTTGTCCATCGAATGGTCAATTTAGTCAATTTACCCAATCTACAATGGATGGTTCAATACAATGCGGTCGATCAGTTGCCTTCCCTTTATTCACAAAAGCAGTCAACCTATTAACAGCTATATCAAATTCACTTCGTCTATTACCAAAAGAAGATTTCGGCTTGGTAATATATCCTTTTTCAGTGTATTCTCATTATCTGTTTTATTCGTTGGCATCTGATTTTTACTCATTTTACATTCATGTGTTTTATACTGGAATTCGTCTTTATAAATTTGAACAGAGACACAACAGACGTTGGTACATTAAGCCTTCAAATAACTGATATTTAATCAGTGTCGTTTGGAGTAAACACAGGAGTCAAACAATGGTGCTTATTGTCACCAGTGATATTCCTAATTGTGGTGGACTGGATTATGCGTCAGACAGTGAGAAACGAGAAGACAGGGATATCCTGGAACGACGTGAAGAACCTAGAAGACCTGGATTTCGGGCGTGGATGATTTATGTTTGATGTCACACAAAATCGAAGACTTACAAGCGAAAACTGACAAACTGGTCGAAGAAGCAGCCAGAGAAGACAGGACTGACTCCAGGTGAACATAGACAAGACGGAGGTTATGAAGATATCCAACCAACAACAACAACATCCAGCGCCAATCACCATCAACGGGAGGGATTTGAAAGAGGTTACTTCATTCACTTATCTAGGGAGCATTGTCTTAACTACAGGAGGATGAGGAACGGACAAGGATGTCAAATCGAGAATCGGAAAGGCGAGAAACACATTCATCAACCTGAAACCAATTTGGAAATCTCCCGCTGTCACTTAACTCAGCATCAACAACAAAATTCGGATTTTCAATACAAACGTCAAGTCAGTCACTTCTTCTATACGGATGGATCAAAAACTTGGCGGCGGGTCACAAAGAATATTTCCAACAGCCTGTTGCAGACCTTTATCAACAACTAACTGTCTTCGCTGGCTCTATACTGAAGATCAGATGGCCGGAAAGAACAAGAACCAACAAGAACCAAACTATGGGAAGAAACAAAACAAGAACCAGTCGCCCAAGAAATATGCAGGAGAAAGTAGAGATGGATTGGACACTCACTCGCTAAGGAGGCCACTCGCTGGGTGACATGTCGCGTCAGGCCACAGCTCGAGTGGAACCCGAAAGGGAAGCGGCGAGTGGGACGTTAGTTCAAGGGTGAAATGGAGGAGATAGTGTGAAGAGGAGTTGAAGCAGTATGGACTAACATGGATGCAGGTGAAAAGTACAGCAGAAGATAGAAGCAAGTGGAGACGTGTAGTTGAAGCCCTATGTTCCACTAGGAACCCAAGGGAATAATAATAATAACCAGTGTTCTGGACAGGGTCTTGGACAAGTGGTATCAAAAATTTCTGATGAAACTCATGGATTACATTGTGCATACGATATTTAAATCATTAGCTATCTTACGTGTTAAGCGGTATAACATGAGGAGTAATACTCAGGTTAGGTGTAGAGTGTCAACTGATGTGGTTTGCATGCTACATCGGTTGAGATTGCTAGGACATGAGCCATCGACTTCCTCAGTGGGCAATCTTAGCCGTCATTGGATTAGGTCGGAAAAGAGTTAGTGATGGTCATATCACAACTTGGCTTCAGTCTATGAAATCTTTAACAGTTAGTTTGAGCCATCCATTTAGGAAGGGGTAGGTTGCCTAGTGGGGTTACTAAGATCCAATAGCCGGAGACTATTGGTGATACGACTCAATGGTGCAGATGCATTCACCCTTTATCCACTAAACCTTCATATCCTTGCTTTTTCTTATCATTCTCCCTCACATTCCCGCTTACTGTTATGATAATAATAATAATTTTCTGATCTAATTGTTTCTCACTTTTATCTACCTTTTTGTGATACATGAAGTGTGGCAACTTTAACCACTGCACTTCTGTGCGAAATACTATCTTGGAACTCAGTCTCTCATCCAGTTTAAATCATTGACGACATTTTCTAACGAACTAGCTTCCGTCCTCAGTTTTTTGTAATTAACAACTTCGTCGATTCACTGTGGGATTTTTGTACATGTATAATATTTTTTTAACAGTGGGGGGAAGTTTACATGGAGGAAGGCTTTTTGCATATTGACGAGGGAAACAGTATAAGCCTAAATGTTTATCATAAAATTTAAAACGAGTAACTTGTCAGGACATTCTGCAACGCACGGGCATTAAATGAAGGGTTTCTTAGATCTGTCACACACTGTGAAACAGCATTATTTACTGGATGACTTTTCGAATACAATTTATTTTCATAATCCTACTCACTGTAGCTACACAACTTTGAAACTTGATTTTTATAGTTCTCATTTTTCCTTCACACTTTCCGTAAAGGTAGTGGAATTTTTCAGATATCTGCGAAAGGTGTTGCATCATTCCTATTGCAAGTGTTCTCAGTTGATTCGATAAATTAGACTTCAGTTATCAACCTCTTACCCCCACCCCGTTATACATTAGATTCGAATCGTGTCATCTTGTCTCATCTCGTTGCATGTTTGTGTGTAACTGCATGTAGAGTGCTGTAGCTGAACTTTATTTCTAGACTTTTTATTTGAGTCTACAGTTTGGATTTCATCAAGTTTTTGTGCTTCACTTATCTTACTGACCATGGCCTAATACTTTAGGCTTATGTATTTGATCTTCCAGTTATTGCATTGTATTAGATAAATCAAATTATTTTGTCTAAGGGACACTATAGAATCTCTTAACCTTTTAAATAAGTGGTGAATGTAATCGGTTGCAGTGAAAGACGATATGCAAACTACTCCTGAACACCTTGAGCAGCAATCTTCGTATGTTTGGCATGCGATTAGCCCCTGTAAAATGCAACATGCTGCTACAGGACTGGACTACGTCAACTCCTAGCTTAGTGATAGGGAGTGAAGTGATAGAACATGTTGACCACTTCACCTATTTGGGAAGTTGTATCAGCACCAACGGATTGATTGGTATTTTTTTTATTTTTTTTCTAATTTTTGATTACAGCTTGATTCCACACAGTACTTTTGGTAGAAGTATGGAATTTTCAGCATGGATATCGGTAGCCCAAATTTTGCAGGCCGACCATAGATATCGGGTGTGCGTCGGTAGGTGATCGAACCCCGGACCATGTGCATGGTCGGCGAGAGTCCTAACCACTGTGCCACCGACGGTGACGAAATCTCAGCACGGATCCGAAAAGCTCCAGCTGCTTTCGCTAACTTACACCATCTCTGGCATAGGTGTGACATCCCACTATCAACCAAGGGATGTGTGTACTGCTCACCAGTTCGCTCCGTCCTTCTCTATGGCTATGGAACATGGCCAATACGAGTTGAAGACATGAAAAGGTTGACTGTTTTTGATCATAGATGTCTACGATCTCTTTCTCACGTTAGGTGGCATGATAAGGTAAGTAAGTAATGTTGACGTTAGGCTAGGCGTAGAGTGTTGGCCAAAGAGGGAAAATCAATCGAAGAGGCTATAGAGTTACATAGATTGAGATGGCTAGGTCACGTGCTTAGCATGCTTAACCATCGCCTCCATCGACAGTCATTACTAGCTGATATAGGTGCAGGTTCGAAAGGAGTAAGTGGTGGCCAAACAAAAACATCACATCAATCAATCCATGAAATCCTTGACAGTTAAACTGAGTCGAGTCAGGTAAAGGGATGCAGACTTCCGGGTTGAGGCCCTCGGGACTCTAAGAATTAATCCATGGCTGGAGACAGACAATAGGTGACATGGCTCAAAATCGTTGTCAATGGCTTACGCCGATGTATTCAGTCTGTAATATTCAGTCTCATATTCCTTTCTACCATTACTCATTCTGTTTCACTCTTATACTTGTCAAATCTCTATTGATTCTCTTCACTCATCTTCTTGTCTTGTCTACCTTTGTGTGGTATTTGGAACGTGGCACCTCGAACTGCTGCACTTCGGTGGCAAGTTCTATGTTTAATCCAGACAGACAGAGGGACCTGTAGTATTATCTTGCAGTGACTTCAGCTTAGCGTTCAGATCTAAATTCATTGACGATCAGTTAATCAAAGTGGGCTGTCACGACCTCAACTTTAATTAAGTCAGTACAAACTGTTTATTGTCGAAGCTATACACTACGGTTAGAATCATTGTAATTAAATAAATATTGCATGCATTTACATTCTTTTATTCTTCTTCTATTTAAGTTACCTTTGTTTGTTTAAACATTTTCAGACTGCAGAGACAGATTTCAGTACAACTCCTATCGGGAAGTTGAATCGTGATCGTGTTCAATTACTTATTAATATTTATGATGCATGTTTAGAGTTTGAGTTGAAAGATCCAATGGCAACTGGTGATCTAACTCATGCTGGTAATTTTCAATCACAGTTTCCAAATCAAACGTAAGTCTGTTTTGTCGTTTTTACCGTAAAAACTGCTTGTTAATTTATCCTGTTGATTGGTATGCGTATTTAGAAACCATTCATGTCAAGCAAGCAGTAGCGTTTACTGACCAGACTCAGATGATCTAATCACTGGACGGTGGGTTTTTTCGTCTTAGGCTGAGCTCGTCAGTGGTGTACTTGCATTGACTCAGCTTAAATTCAAACAACCTGACATTGATCGTTGAGGAATGTGGTGTCTAGACTTAGGTAACTTTTGTCTTAATTATCTCAACCGATGAAGTTTTACAACCTAATCGATTGATTGGCCTTACTGTTCTGAATATCTACGTCTAACTTCATTTTTACTAACCATATCACAGTTACTTTTGTCTGAGAACCTCTAGTTCCTTCATACTATCCACTTTCAACGGTCATGTCTTACAGTTTTAAAGAAGGTAGTATGCCGCTTCAGAAGAGGCTTGATTATACTTGCATTTTTTACGATCTCCTTTCGTCACCTTAAGTCCCTTAGTTAATAGTAATAAACACATATTTCTAAAAAGTTCTAGTTTTTTTAAATTCAGATTGAATATGTCATTACATTTTTATCTTATATGACAGCATTGTGATTGTTGGTGGCCAGCAGTAGAAACTTAAAACATGCATTTTATCCCACTTGGGACTTATCTATTTGATATGGCTACATCTGTTACTTGCCACTGTCAATCCAATAACATCAGCTTAACTTCAAAGCATCGTAATCAAAGCATGTGATCTAGGATCTGACTTGTCAACAGAGTGACTGAGTATTATTATTATTGTTCCCTTGGGTTCCTACTGGAACATAGGGCTTCAACTACCCGTCTCCACTTGCTTCTGTCTTCCGCTGTACTTTTCACTTGCATCCATGTTAGTCCATACCATTTCAACTCTTCTTCACACGATCTCCTCCATGTCGCCCTTGCACTGACGTCCCACTCGCCGTTTCCCTTTCGGGTTCCACTGGAGCGTTGGCCTGACGCGCGATTTCACCCAGTGGCCTCCTCAGCCAGTGAGTGTCCAATCCATCTCCACTTTCTCCTGCATATTTGTTGAGCGATTGGTTCTTGTTTTGTTTGTTCCCATAGTTTGTTTCTTGTTGGTGATTCTTTCTGGCCATCTGATCTTCAGTATAGAGCCAGCGAAGACAGTTAGTTGTTGATAAAGGTGTGCAACAGGCTGTTGGAAATATTCTTTGTGACCCGCCGCTGAGTTTCTGATCCATCCGTATAGAAGAACTGACTGACTTGACTGACGTTTGTATTGAAAATCCGAATTTTGTTGTTGATGCTGAGTTGAGTGACGAAGATTTCCAAATTGGTTTCAGGATGATGAATGTGTTTCTCGCCTTTTCGATTCTCGATTTGACATCCTCGTCCGTTCCTCATCCTCCTGTAGTTGAGACAATGCTCCGTAGACTGAGTATCATGGTCTAGTAAAATAGGTCAACAGGAGATTACTCTTACACGTATACTCATGTAACTCATCTTCCAATAATTTTAATTTGTAAATAAAATTACTCTTTATTCAGTCACCTTAGATTGTCTACGCCGATTCTAATGACATTCACGACAATACGATTCTTAGTGTAGTAATCAGTTATATACTGAAGTTACTCTACGACTAGGTATCATTGATTGATAACTGTAGCAACAATCATACTTTCGTAACCCGTTTTCAAGTTTGGTCAAGGGTTGATGTCATTTAGAGAACAGTCGAGAACGAGGCAGTGTCGGACAGCTTTTTCATCCTAGTTTTGGACTATTCAGTAGTGTGCACCCACCACCCCACCGGAAATAGAACCCAGGACCTTCTGGTTGACTTTGTGGACCATTAAGCCATTTGGTCCCAAATCCAATATCTCATGAATTCTAACTTCTCTTAATTCACTATATAGCGCGAACTCCAGCCAACATCATCGGCGAATATTTGTTCTTCTAGCCGATTTGGTCGACCCCACAGACTACGACTTTCCCGCTAGGCAACTTCAGGCAACTTCGTCTTGTCAGCATCAGATTAGTTGAAAAAATATCACGACTTATTAGGAGCTGAAATTCATTAGCCACTGAATCGGGTCCCAGTGGTTGAATGGTCTATGATGAGCTTGCCTTGTAAGCTGAAGGCCCTGGTTTCGTACCCTGGCGGTTGGTGCATACTGATGAAGAGGAGTCCCAAACTGGGGCTGAACAGCTTTCCGGTTCTCTCGGATTTTCTAATGATGATTCTCTAACTGATATCAATCCGTGATCATACTTGAAATACATCAAATCCCTACAAAGTAACTCTTCATCTGCTTTCGTGCAAGAGTCTTTATTAATCCCTCTATCTAATACACCATTGTGTTAATTACTCAGTCTGCGAGTAGACTGTGTAAAGTAAGTTCATTTGACAACTGACTTGAATGAAGAGAATGTGATCACAGTTTAGAGGAAAGTTTTCCGCATTGTTGATTTCGAACCAGATGCCTAATGGTTGATCTATGACCCCTTTTTTCATTCCTTTGCGTACCAAGGGGACCGGTAGTGTTGTTGCTCCTATGGGCTAAGGGTCGCGCCTAACTGTACCTCATCTCGGGATTTACTACCGGCTAACAGAGACTTGAGAATGCAATGTCTTCGAATCGAACCTAACTCACGCGCGTGCTTGGGATCTGTCTGTCTGTCTGGATTCAACATAGAACTTGGAACCGAAGTGCAGCAGTTCGAGGTGCCACGTTCCAAAGAGCACACAAAGGTAGACAAAAAGATGGGTAGAGAGAATCAATAGAGTTTTGACAAGTATAAGAGTGAAACAGAATGAGTAATGGTAGAAAGGAATATGAGACTGAAGATTACAGAGACTGAATACATCTGCGTAAGCCATTGACAAGGATTTTGAGCCATGTCACCTATTGTCTGTCTCCAGCCATGGATTAATTCTTAGAGTCCCGAGGGCTCCAACCAGCCCGGAAGTCTGCATCTTCCTACCTGACTCAGTTTAACTGTCAAGGATTTCATGGATTGATTGATGTGATGTTTTTGTTTGGCCACCACTTACTCTCTTCCAACCTGTACCTATATCAGCTAGTAATGCCCGTCGGGGTGGGGGAGGCGATGGTTAGGCATGCGCACCACGTGACCTAGCCATCTCAATCTATGTAACTCTATAGCCTCTTCGATTGATTTTTTCTCTTTGCCCAACACTCTACGCCTAACCTAACGTCAACATTACTTACCTCATTATACCACCTAACGTGAGGAAGAGATCGTAGACATCTATGATCAAAAACAGTCAACCTTTTCATGTCTTCACTTCGTACTGGCCATGTTTCAGAGCCATAGAGAAGGACGGAGCGAACTGGTGAGCAGTACACACGTCCCTTGGTTGATAGTCGGATGTCACGCCTACGCCAGAGATGGTGTAAGTTAGCGAAAGCAGCTGGAGCTTTTCGGATCCGTGCCGAGATTTCGTCACCAATCAGTCCGTTGGTGCTGATACAACTTCCCAAATAGGTGAAGTGGTCAACATGTTCTATCACTTCACTCCCTATCACGAAGCTAGGAGGTGACGTATTCCAGTCCTGTAGCAGCATGTTGCATTTTACAGGGGTGAATCGCATGCGAAACATACGAAAATTGCTGCTCCAGGTGTTCAGAAGACTTTGCATTTTGTCAGCATCCTCCCCCAACAGAACTAAGTCATGTGCATATTCTAAGTTCATACTATTCCCTGGTAACAGGTCGATTCCTAAGTCGTTAATTTCAGTTAAGTTCTATTCTGCGGCTTAACCACTGACGGATTTAACCCCTTAGTTGTACCGAATATGTCTAGATTATCATTTCAGTTACTGAGGATTTTATGTGTTTGTCTTGTGAATAAATTTTGCCTACCTGTGTGGCATGTCAGCAGCATAATTTTAGTTAAGTAATCTATCCCTGTGGTAGCAATTTAAACCGTTATTACCTGGGGTGGATTTCCACTAATTGTATTTTGATGAGATTATGTGAATCCAACATTGTAAGTAGATAATTTTGTTATAAAGTGAACAATTCATGGAATAGTTGATTTTTATAACTAAATCAGTAGTCTGTTGGATTTTTAAGTAATAATATCACTGGATTTGCAGTTAATAGTGTCCTCTGAGCTGGTTGGTTTAGTTGCGGAGCTTTCGTAGTCCTTCTGGACGACATCTTCAAAGCCATATTTAGCACAAAGTGAAATTTAAATTTCTTCATGAGTGATAGAATTGTGTCTCCTGGTGACCATCTTTACATATGTATTGACCATTTTCTATTGACTTGGATTTTAAGCTTTCAGGTCACCTGATTCACTTTTTATTAGTTGGTATATTTCGTCTGTATTAACGTGTTTGTTAATTGCATTTTCGTTTGAGTACCAGGCTTCGAGGAATTCCCTGACTGCACTTTTGGTGCTTCCTCTGTCTAAGATTTTGAAATTATCCCAATCAAATTGATGACCATAATTGTCTATATGCATTGATACTAAAGAATACATATCGTATCTTTTCACGGATGATTTGTGTTCTTGGATTTTAATTCGAAGGGGACGCCCACTTTGGCTGATGTAATGCTTGTTGCAGTTCATACAATTTATTTTGTAAATGGTATTAATTTTATCCCCTTTTTCTGTTGGGTCTTTTGGTTTGCATAATATCGAATTAAGCGATTTTACTGGTTTGTGTGCTATATCTATATCAAACGGTTTCAGTATTCTAGCTGTTATTTCAGAGATATTATTCATGTATAGTGGGATGAATTTTCTTGTGGTCTTTGATGATGGTTTCTTGTTGGTGTTTTGATTCGACTTTAAACACTTTTTGGTGAAATTTTGTGGATAACCATTCTTTTTGAAGACCGTTTGTAGGTACTTTTCTTCCATTCTTTTCAATACTGGAGTGCTACAATGTGTCTGAACTCTTTTAAACAATGTCTGCACACAGTTTCTTTTGTGAGTAATTGGATAATGGCTAGTATAGTTGAGTATTTGATCTGTGTGCGTTGATTTTCTATATACTTGTGTTTCTAAATCTCCTTTGTTGGTTCTCCTGATTAAGACATCTAAAAATGGGATTTTGTTATCTAATTCTTCTTCTCTTGTGAATTTGATATCTTCAAATATGTTGTTTATTAATTTATGGGTATTCTAAATCAATTCTCTTAATTATTGCAAATGTATCATCAACGTAACGTATCCAGATTTTCGGTTTAATTATAGGTAGAGCTATTAATTCTAATCTTTGCATAACGGCTTCAGCTATTAATCCTGTTAGCTACTAATCCTGAAGATGTTGTCCAGAAAGACGACGAAAGCTTCGCAACTAAACCAGCCAGCTCAGAGAACACTATTAATTGCAAATCATTCACCTGAGCTACAAATCTTCTCTATTATTTCAATATCACTGGATATTTGATCAATCTTGTATATATATATATATATATATATATATATATATATAATGTTTTTTTACTTTCTTTCTAATAATCTTTTTTAATCTTTGCTTTCTTTCAGTTCTCCTGATTCAGCTTGGCTGCGTATTCGTCAACTATTCACTAAACGTTTAACTCTAGTAAATTTACTCAATGGAAAAAGCACTGGCAACAGTCAAAATTATGGTTTTTTATCTACACCGTCTAGACAAACTGGAGACTTTCGTAGTGGTGGTGGTCTACTAATTATGAGTTTAATTTCACTTTCTCAAGCAAATTTAAAAAATATTCTAATCGCTAGTATTAAATCAGAGTCAATGAATTCACTGGCTTGCTATATCCTTCAAACTTTATCGACACGATTAAATCAATTTACACGATATAATGATGGAAATATTCCGTGTGTATATCGTGATGCACTCCTGAATGAATTGAATCCAATTATGAAGTGAGTAGGCGGCTTATCTTACTGATTGTGCATTAACTTTTTGCTTTTTTGTTTTTGCCCTTATTTTTCGTGATTACCTGATTTGTGTATTCGCAAATTGAGGAGATATTGTGGTTTATTACCACAATACCAACAACGGAGACAGAGAGCTACCAGTGAACACCAACCCCCGCCCCGACGAAATCAGAAGTCCTGAAGGCAATCAAGATGCTAAAAGCTGGAAAAGCAGCAGGACCAGATGGAATCCCAGCAGAAGCATTGAAAATGGACCCAGAGACAACAGTGGACTTGACGACGCCACCACACTGGAGAAGGTGTGTAAAGAAGGCAAAGTACCCGAGGATTGGAAGGAAGGATACTTACTTATTCAAACTACCAAAGAAAGGAGACTTAAGTCAATACAAGAACTGGCGGGGAATTATGCTTCCGTCCATCCGAAGCAAAATACTAAGCCGCATCATCCTGGAGAGAATCAAACATGCCCTGGATGAAAAACTTCGACCGGAAGAGGCTGAATTCAGGAGAAACAAGTCATGCATTGATCAAATCGCCACATTACGGATCATCATTGAACAAAGCTTGGGATGGCAGTCACCTCTCCACCTCACCCAACTTCATCGAATTTGAAAAGGCCTTTGACAGTGTCGATCGAGAGGTGATTCGGAAACTACTTCGCTACTACGGTGTGCCACAGACAACTATATATCTCATCCAACAGCTGTACAACAATGCTGCATTCCAAGTAATCCACAACGGGAAACTTAGGGAATCCTTCGAAGTGAGGGCAGGAGTAAGACAAGCTGGCTGCCTACTATCGCCAATGACTTTCCTAATTGCAGTAGACTGGATAATGCGACAAACAGTGGGCAATGAGGAAACAGGTATAAAATGGACTCATACAAAAAGCCATCTTGGAGGATCTGGACTTCGCTGATGATATATGTCTGATTTCCCACAAACTGGAAGATATGCAAGCGAAAAGCAACAAGTTGGCAGGAGAAGCATCAAAGACGGGAAGGACTTCAGGTGAACATAGAGAAAACAGAGGTGATGAAGATCCTTGGGTAACACCACCAACAGCAATAACAACAACAGACAACAATCAGCCAGCATAAACGGAAGGAACCTGAAAGAAACAAGCTCCTTTAGCTACCAACCTGGGAAGCATCTTCTCAACTACAGGCCAACAGAACTGACGAGGATATCAAAGCAAGAATCGGGAAAGCAAGACAAGCTTTCACTACTCTTAAGTCTGTGTGGAGGTCAACAGCAGGTCAAGAGGAATTAAAGGAAATAATAATAATAATGTGGTTTATTAACTTTTAAGTACTCATTTCACAGTCAGTAGGCCTTGGGTTCGACGCCAGCTCCACCTACCTCAATTTGAACAATAGTGTTCGGAACATGATCAGTAGATATTCCTGTGTAGAACTGTGAGCTTTTGTCAAATAGATTTCCTCCGTAATGGAATTATACTCTACCACAGTGCCCAAATTCTATCCTTATATATCAACAACTCCATTTTCTTTTTTTGCGTGATGAGTTCTTGGTTGGTCATTTGTACTGCAGAGTTCTTTGTCGTTTGTCTTTTCTGGACGGCCATGTGATATTTAGTATGGAGCCAACTAACTGTTGGAGATGATTTTAGTGACACCGTACGTCAAGTCTCTGAACCATATGGAAACTCTCACTTGACAGTAGTGTTGAGAATGTGAATCTTGCTGTTAGTGGTGATTGCAGTAGGTTTCCACACCGATTTCAAGTCGCCACACTCCATGTAGCACACAAAGCAAGAGAAGAATATAGAAGAAATGCATAATATAGACAGTAAAGAGGTGTAAGACAAAGGTACAGCAATAACGAAGAACAAAACAGTTTAATTGGAAATCATGAGTCAAAAGGAGTGGATGCATCTGCGCCATCATGAAGAACGATTTTGAGCCATATCACCAATTGTTTCCAACCATTGGTTTTCACTGTCCCGAGGACCCCAACCAGTCATTCAGGAAGTCTACACCTTCCTACGTGGCTTAGACAAACTGTTGTAGATTTCATTGACTGGTGCCATGTTTTCGTTTGACTGCCGCTAGCTCTTCTCCAGTCTGACCCTATATCAGCTAACATTGCCCATTGTCGAGGAAGGCGATAGCTAGGCGTGCATGCGTAACACATGTCCTAACCATCTCAGTCGATGTAATTTCACAGCCTCGTCGACTGATTTCCCTTCCTTACCTAGCACTCGAGCGACACCTAACCTCAATATTGCTCACCTTATTATACCACTTCACACGGGAGATAGAACGCAGACACCTATGATCGAAGACAGCTAATCTTTTCATGTCTTCCACTGATACAGATGTAGATCACTTCACTCCGTAATGTTGAAATAGTATCAAAATTACTTCGTGGTCGACGGTTCTCGTTGAGGTACGTGTATTGTGTGAAGGATAATGATATTATCTGGTTAACCCGGTGGTTGGTAGTCCAGAGTAGTAGTCTGCAGCTTCACACGGACTAATTAGTACAGATAGTTGACTTTCAGACAATGAGTCCCAGTCTCGAATCACTTTTTCACAGAGTATCGCTAGCCTTCATCTAGTTATGACTTATTGTCAGGCATTTCATCATTCACCTAGTTTTTTTTAAAGTAACATTCTACGATGAATAAACTAGATACTTCAGCTACATCTCTGCAAATCAACATTTGAAAATTAATCTACTGCTCACTAGTAACTCATTACAGAATGAAGTTACGCAAAGTTTTAGTGGAAGATCGTGTTCCGCGAAGTCCACCAAGTTGGTCATGTGGAGAGATACACACTAACTGATGTTGGTTGATAGTCGTGTTATATTGCAGAAGATTTAAGTGATGGGCCACTGAATTTCGTCCGGGTTTCTGAATCGTATACAAGTTATGGTTGGGTTCAAATTTTAACCTAAGGTTCTAGGTTTCGATCTCCTATGGGCTCATGGTTGCGTACTGTTAAAGACGAAACAGCTGTCCAGCACTCCCTGGTTTCTCCGTGACTGTCTAAGTGAAGTCAATTCGTGATCAAAATCAAAAGACGGTTTTCTCTATCGAAAAAGTTATCCTCAAAGGTTCAACAAGACGTATAACAGTCTATTATTAAGTAACAAGGGGGGATGTCATTTGGATGTGAAATAGCAGTTGATATAATTACTTCTAAGTGGTTCCTACAGATAAAAAGAAATTACGTAACGATCACTGACACAGTAGAAGTAAGTGTTCGAGACCTGTTAAGGTGAAAAGCCTCACTTCTATTGTGTCGGCAATTATTACTTAATTTCCTTCTGCTTTTAGATACCATTTCTGGGTGATCGTGTCGATTACGTCAAACCCGCTATTACTCAATAGAAGACTGCTAAACACCTTCAGCAACTGTAAATACGACTTGCGGTCAGCGGGTCCTCGGTCCGAATCTCGCTCCACCTACTTCAGCCCGGGGAGCTGAGTAGTATCGCTAGGCCCCTTAACAATAAGTGTGCCTCATAGACTGGAACACGAAAAACCTATCCCGAGAAATGAGTTAAAAAGAAACGACTGTACAGCCTTCGAAGATGACTTCAGTGATAAAGGGAATTTTATTCGCTGAATAGCCTTTAATTTTTTGCCATGATTCTATGTTGTATTCTGTGATTAATATATTCAGACTAATTTGTTGCAATAATGTAATTTATTAAGTTACTTTTCATTGATTCACTCATTCTTTCAGGTGCGTAATTCGCTTTTATCATCATAAAATAATGTCAAGTGAACAGTGTGGTTCACTTCCTAGTCATAGTTCTGTGCCTACGGCTACTGCCACTGCTACTACAACTAATTCTGATGATGAAGCGACCAATCAACCAGAGGTGGTATCTAAATCTCGCACCACAGGCACCACCACCATGATGTCAACGTCAACAGCAGCTTTAAAAGTTTTCGATATTGGATTAACACTGGCACTACACTATTTGGGTACTCAAAGACTGCATAAAATATGTAGAATACTTTATCCTGTTACAGAAAATCCAGATTATTCAGAGCATTTACTCAATCCAGAGTCATGTGATTCAGAGGATGTAGACATCACTGATAATGATGATGATGATGCGACATCTGAGTCTATAATTTCTGCAGTGACACCAGCTCAAGCGCTTTCATCATTTGTTAAATTAGTTAAAGTGAGTTGTTGTTGTCTTACTGTTATTCGTTGACTGTTTTAATCTGTTGTACATTTTTTTTATTTAGTCAGTTGGTTATTTCGATAGAAGTCACCTGTTACAGGGCTATATGAGTCAGACACTTTTTGTGTGTGACGACTGATGGTACTATGCAGTTAGCTAAGCTGAAGCAAGTGGAGTAGGATTCGATTTATGGCTCATTGGTTTAGACCAACCATTGAGTTAAGGGTTCGAACCCCGCTCCATCTACTTTGGTCTAGACATTAATGGCCCTAAGGATTGTCTTTTTACCATGGAAAAGTCTTGTTGACTTAGAATAAACGGGGATGACATCGTCTTCCTAGGTTAAGACTCTGATAAAATGTAGAGTCTTCGGAGCATCTTGAGCAGAAACCTTCGAATGTTTGGCATGTGATTCTCTCCAATCATATGTAAGATGATGCTATAGGACTGGAATACATTTATTGCTACCTTAACGATAGGAAGTGAAGTGGTAGAGCGTGTTGACCACTTCACTTATTTCTGACGAAATCTCAGCACGGATACAATAGGCTCGTGTGGGATTTGCCAACTTACGTCATCTCTGGCGTAGACGTGATATCCGGCTATCGATTAAAGGACGTGTGTACTGTGCAATAGTTCGCTCTATTCTCCTTTATGGCTACGAGACATGACCATTGAAAGAGGAAGATATGAAAAGGCCGCCTGTCTTTGATCACCGATGTCTGCGTTCTGTCTCCTATGTTAAGTGGTATAACAGGGTGAGTAATATTGAGGTTAGGCGTGCATATTGTTAGGTAAGGTGGGAAAGTCAATCGACGAGGTTTTGGAGGTGGATCTTTGGAGATTGCCAGGACGTGTGTTACTCATGCCTAGTCATTGCCTTCCTCGACAGGCATTGTTAGCTGACAGGATCAGGTTGGAAAAGAACTAGTGGTGGTCAAAACAAAACTAGGAATCAGTATATGAAATATTTCAGAGTCAGTTTAAGCCACGTAGGGAGGTGTAGACTACTTGGTTGATGTCCTTGAGATGCTAAGAATCAATGGCTGGAGACAATAGGTGATGTGGCTCAAAATCTGGCTCATATGCATTCACTCTTTGTAACCTCCGATTTCCAGTCAACCGTATTGTTATTCCATGTTACTATTCTTTCTCCCTAACATTTCTGCTTATTTCATTCTTTTGAGTCTATTTTCTTTTCTCTGTTGTTTTTCTTTGTGTGCCACATGGAGTGTGGCAACTTAAAGTGTTGCACTTCTATGTAAAGATCTTTGTTGAAAACAATTGGTCAGTCAATCTTAGCCTCCAGGTAGTATCATTGGCTTCGACACAATAAAAAATTTGTTTCGGGTGGCCATATACTTACATTGGCAGTCATAAACACAAGGATTTTAATTATTATTATTGTCTCCTTTGGGTTGAGAGTGGTACATAGGGCTTCACCAGCATGTCTCCTCTTTAGCTGGGCCCACGATTGCTCATAGTCTGTCATCTCCTCTTTGCATGATCTCCTCCATGTCACCTTCGGACGCCCCACTCCGAGTTCCCTATTCGAATCCCACTAGAGCTATCTATGTCTTGGCGCGATGTGATTCGGCAGTCTCCTCAAAGTGTACCTAATCCCCATTTCCATTTTCTCCTACATATTTGTTGAGCAATAGTTTCTTGGTCAGTTTATTCCCGTAGTTCCTTGTTGTTGATTCTTTTTCGCTATTTGATCTTCAACAATTGAATATCCACTCATATTTCCTAGAGAATTTGGAATAACAAATAGCAGTGACACAACGTGGTAGTATATATATATATATATATATATCTTGTTCTGAATACACATGAACAGTAAGAACCTTGTTTATAGGAGAGTTGTTGCCGTACAACTTTCAAGGACAATAAGATAACTCTTTCCTTAGGAACTCGACATTCGAGCTAAATCATAGTTTGAAAATCCCCATTGAGTCATGTGAAAAAGAGAAGACGGTCAGCGAAGAGACTCTTTTCGGCGAATTCATTCACATACAGCTGTACAATCGCATTTATATATAATTATTTGTGTGTCTGTATGTGTGTACATGAAGTTTGTCAAGTTTAGATAATTGATCAGGTAATACAACAGCTGCCACCCCGCGATTCAGTTCACGCTGGAGAAAGAGTCCAAATCCAAAATATCCCTTCTTGACGTCCAACTAACAAGAGAACAGGATGGAACACTGAAAAGGTCTATCCATAGAAAGTCGACGTGGAACAGACAGCTTACTAACTTTCACAGTTGGGTACCCCTATACACCAAACGAAACCTGATCCGTTCACTCAGCTACAGAGTTCGCAGAATTTGTACCCCGGACACCATAGAAGATGAACTGGACAATCTCAAGAGAATCCTCGTCGAGGATTGTTATCCAGGAAGATTTATTGCAAAATCTATGAGTCCTAGGCCACAAGAGCCGCCCATGCTTAGCGTCCCGAAAAAACTATACATGAATCTTCAATTCAATGGAGATATATCTGCGGAAACACTAAAAAATTGACTGTCGCGCTCACTTAAGAAGACCTTCTTCGCAGCTGAACTACGACTAACCTTCTCCACAAAACCTATGATTCATGTGAACGTGAAGGATAAGCTACCGCTGCTGGCCTCATCAATGTGTATTTACCAATTCACCTACTCGTGTGGAGCCAGGTATGTCGGCCGTACCCAGCACTCGCTTTCCAAACGTATCACCGAATACCAACATGGTTTTATAAAGGAGAAAATCGATGCTCCCGCAGTTCCATCTTAGAACATCTGAAAAAATCCGGACACCAAGCTACACCGCAAACAAACTTCAAAGTCGTCTACAGAGTAAGAAGTAGTCTTCCTAGAGGTGTACGAATCAGACTTCTTCAAACTGCATAAGCAATGGCGATTCACTTGCTAAGTCTTGAACTCTGCATACAGAAGAAGTTCGTTCAATCACTACACTTGCAATGGACATAATCTATCTTATTAGCCGACAAGTAAATTTTACCTAATCTTTTTTTTCTGTCTCTTCATTAGTATTATTTGTCTTCTCAATTGTAATATTTTACATTTTAAACTTTCTTGTTCTCTACCCCCACCCGATTTAATTTCTACACCTCACTACCACTGTTACTGACTTGAACAACGCTCAATTTCTAATCATTTATGTTACGTCATCCAACTTATTTGCTCAATTTCACTTTAGTTGCTGTCTCATTAACTTTGTTTCTATATTAGATCATTCTTGTATTACCTGATCAATTATCTAAACTTGGCAAACCTCATGTACACACATACAGACACACAAACAATTATATATAAATGCGATTGTACAGCTGTATGTGAATGAATTCGCCGAAAAGAGTCTCTTCGCTGACCGTCTTCTCTTTTTCATAAATCATAGTTGACAGAAATATATAGACACTAATCTGATCTGAATTTCTTTGATTAAAACTATAAAAATAATCATCGTGCAACACTTGTTATACATTAAACAAAGCAGAAATCAATATTAGTATTAGCCAACTAAGTGAATAATGTTTCGAATTACAAAAGTAATGATTTATCCTAGTGCAGTATACTTACTCGGCACTTCCTTCACGGCCAGACAGTGTGATAGTTAGTACCTTTGGGTCGACAGAGTCAAACGTGGCCTTCAGGTCAAGAAATATGGCACACCCGTAATTCCGTCTATGTTACAGAATTCATCTAAGGGTGTGACGATGTGGTTGGTACCCCCTTGTCCTGGCTTAAAGTCTGCCTGGTTATTAGAAGCTTGTTTCTCATGAGCACCCCTGAGTTTATGTGTAGTTATTGAACTTGGAATTTATTATGGAGAACTAACTTCTCATACTTATTACTAGTGAAGTAAAGTTTTAAACAAAGACAAAGAATTACTTGAGTAACTGTGTGCCTAAGTGGTAACCTGTTTGTTACATGCTGGGTTTTATTCCTGGTGGTGTTAATGTGTGCGAAATAGTGGTGTGATTCTTTTTGTTCAGTAGCTGACTTTCGACCATTACCGTCTTCGATTTGAATCCTCCCTCATCCTCTTGAGCCAAGTTGTATTATCTTGTACTCTTCATACAATAAGTGTGACTCATAACCTGGTAAGTGAAAAGGAATCTGCGCTAGTCAGCCGATTTCTAACTAACTACATTAGTAGTTACATAACATGTAAACACATCTTTTTTTTCTTCAGGTTATTACTTCCATGAGTCCGTTTATAAGCATTTGATTTGTTTCATGTTTGATCATTGATTGATATCATTTAGAGAACGACTGAAAACCATGGAGTAACGGACAGCTGTTTCGTCCTTTTTGGGACTCTTCATCAATGCGCACTAAGGACCTCACCAGTGGTCAAACCACGAACCTTTAGGTTACAAGGCCAAGTTCGTTCTTTATTCAACCACTTGGATTGTAATTCGGTGACTCGTGAATTCTAACTTCTATCGATTCGTGATATTAGCAAGTCCAACTGCTAATTTCATTGGCGAGTATTTGTCCTCACTTCCGACTTGGTGAACCCCACTGATAACGACTTCTTCACTAGAACTTCATGTAACTTTGTCCTGTACTCAGCCACTAGCGAGTATCAGATTAATTTTCAAAGGTTCTTTTGATTTGTTTTAATTGTGACCATGGATAGATGGGATTCGCAGGTAATTAGATTCTGACCCAGGTGGTTGGTTGCTCAACAGGCTTGAAATCGTAACCCTAATGTCCCGAGTTCTATCTCTAGTGGGGCCGTGAAGGTTGACCGATGACTAGTCTCGAAATAAGACGGCACAGCTGTCCAGTACTTCTTGGTTTTCAATTAATCTCCAACCGACATTAATCCGTCATAAAACTAGGAGTACTGATAATTATGTATTTAAAACTTTCATTTATTTGTTTCCTTTAATATTTCTTTTTTCTAGTCATGGGTGACTCGACTGTTGAATCCATCCGGTACAGCGATTAGTTTATCTACACAAAAATTGACCAGTCATAATTTTCCACATGCAAAAGATCTTGTTATCCTATTACCAATATTAGTGAAACTTTGTCGTGTACGGTCTACAGTTGGCTCTGAAATTACAAATCTTGAATTGAATCAATTCAATCCTTATCCAAATCTGTCTCGTGTACTAGCCTGGTTGTTAAGACTAATGCGTAGTCCAGTGGGGGGTTCACGTAATCTACCAGTAAGTAGTGGTACACAAATGAAACATGCAAATGCTATCCCTATCACTTCACGTGTTCAACTCATCAATCAAACTATTTGGTTAGCACATTTAGTCGGTTCAAATTCATCAAGTCGAATTGTAGAAAGTAATGATACAGATTTATCACTGGATGATATACTTCTCACGTTATCGACTGATCTGACTACTGTCTTGGGGAATGTTACTGATGCTAAGGTATATACGTGCTTTTTTCATTACTTTTATTTTTTTAATAATAATAATATGCTTTATTCCAAAACAGTACTTGTGATACAGAATGGAATTCTCAGCATTTTTACTACAGTACTGCATCCAGTTAGTACATTATCAATAAATAGAATTCTACATAGATTAAGGAAATCTCAGTTCATTATGACAACAACATATTGCGATGTCGGTAGTAAAGCCAAAGTTGAACAGTGTTTGAAGGTGTTAGAAAAGTAGGCGCTATCATATTTACTGGCGTAAGCGGAAGAAAGAAACAAAACGGCACATAACAGGAAAAAAAGTGAGAGAATAGGAAATGAAAGAAAGAAAATGTTGTACCTATAAATGAAATGAGTTGGAAAGACGAGGTCTAGTTGTTCTACTGACTATTTAATGAATCATAGGTGTCACGCCTAATGCTTTCTTTATCACACAGAACACGAGCTAAGCAGGGTATGGTTGAGTTTTTGTACTTGCTATTGCAAGCATATAGTTTTCTATATAGGCTTCTGGTTTTACCTGATGAGACGGAAGGGGAGAGTTGTGAGTGAAGAGGGTGGTGTGAGTTAGATAAAATGGATTATCCCATTTCTCATATGAGTCCAAGTGCCTACCTGTCGACCAGAATACTAACAAGCTGGTTAAGTGGCACGTTGCCTACTCTGCTAACAACCTTTAGCATCCTGCGTAATATGATGTTATAGTCTTTCTTCAGTAGACCGGGAAAAACCAAGGGGGAACAATAGAGAATAATAGGTAGAATGCGAGAGTTAACGAATTGTAGGAGTAAGGGTTGGTTTGGGTTATACCAGAATGTTTTAACTTCTTGATGTAGAAGGTAAGACGGAATATTTTCTTAGAAATCGCCAAGATATGAGGCGACCAGGAGAGATCAGCAGATAGACTGGCGCCTAGGTATTTAATTTCCGACTTGGTTTCCATTTCAGTGCCATCTATGTTGCACACCTCGTGAGAGCCAACCAGTTTGTTTAGGTCGGATTTATGCCTGAAGGTGAAATTGACTGTTTGGCATTTGGAGGGGTTTAAGGTAAGACCGTTTTCCTTGTACCACTGGCTGATTGATTTCTGACAGCTGATTTCTGAAAGCAAACTTGGTGTACTTTTTCATTGTTTATCATTGTTTGCTTCTTCGATCCCACGTGAAACATATAGGGCTTCAGGAGCACATCTGCGTTGTCGTCGTTTTCACCCGGTCCCACGATTTCCCATAAATTTTTATTCCCTCCCCACGTGATCTCCTCTGTGTCACTGTTGGATGCCCAACTCGTTATTTACTATTCGGGTTACATTTGAGAGCGTGGCGGTGATATCAGTCATCGACCTACTCTGCTTGTGTCCGATCCATCTCCATTTCCTTCCGTACAATTGTTAGTTAGTGGGTTCATTGACTTTTCTCGTATCTTTTCTGATTGACCATCTGATCTTCAGTATCGGATCAGAGAAGGCAGAGGTAGATGAAAGTCCGCACTAGGCTGTTGAAAATACTTTTGACGACATGGAAGCGAAGTCTCTGAACCGTTATAGACTAAAGTCGATATAAATCATTTACTTTTCTAGGAACAATTAGTTTGTTTTTCTTGAGAAGTAGTAATGAAAGACCAACTGGTGGAATAAACAAAGTTTTCTACAATGAACCTCTATTGTTCTCAGGATTCTTGGATGGAAGTGGTTTTTTGATGTGAATTTTTCCCATCTTTACCACCTTATCCCATTGGAACATTGGGTATGAAACTTTAAGATTTTAGTAGCATCGGCTTTACACCCAACCTTCTCTCTTTTCTGGGCTTACTACCGGCTAGTATACCGGGCAAGATTGAGGAGTACGTCGACCGGCAATGGAGCTTGGAACTGCCTCTAGTCTGGTGATCATTCTGTCATTGCACCACAGTTATTATTATTATTGTTCCCCTGGGTTCCTAGTGGAACAAAGGACTTCAGCTGCACGTCTCCACTTGCTCCTGTCTTCTGCTGTACTTTTCACTTGCATCCATGTTAGTCCATACTGTTTCAACTCCTCTTTACACGATCTCCTCCATGTCACCCTTGAACTGACGTTCCACTCGCCGCTTCCCTCTCGGGTTCCACTCGAGCATTGGCCTGACGCGCGATGTCACCCAGCGAGTGGCCTCCTCAGCGAGTGAGTGTCCAATCCATCTCCACTTTCTCCTGCATATTTGTTGGGGGCGATTGGTTCTTGTCTCGTTTGTTCCCATAGTTTCTTTTTGGTGATTCTTTCCGACCATCTGATCATGAGTATAGAGCCAGCGAAGACAGTTAGTTGTTGATAAAGGTGTGCAACAGGCTGTTGGAAATTTTCTTTGTGACATACTGGCCAAGGTTCTGATCCATCCGTATAGAAGAACTGACTGAGTTGACGTTTGTATTGAAAATTCGAATTTTGTTGTTGATGTTGATGCTGAGTGACGAAGATTTCCAGATTGGTTTCAGGTTGATGAATGTGTTTCTGGCCTTCCCGATTCTCCATTTGACATCCTCGTCCGTCCCACCTGCCTGTAGTTGAGACAATGCTCCCTACCTAGATAAGTGAATGAAGTAACCTCTTTCAAATCCCTTCCGTTGATGGTGATTGGCGCTGGATGTTGTTGCTGCTATTGTTTTGTTGTTGTTGTGTTGGGTGGTTATTTTCATAACCTCCATCTTGTCTATGTTCACCTGGAGTCAGTCCTGTCTTCTCTGGCTGCTTCTTCGACCAGTTTGTCGATTTTCGCTTGTAAGTCTTCGATTTTGTGTGACATCAAACATAAATGATCCACGCGCGAAATCCAGGTCTTCTAGATTCTTGACGTCGGTCTAGGATATCCCTGTCTTCTCGTTTCCCACTGTCTGACGCATAATCCAGTCCGTTACCTTATGTAAAATACGAAGAGTAAATCAACCTTTAAGTTATTTCATTTCATAAATAAAGCACAAAGAAGGAATATATGCATGGATAGTTTGAGTCGTTTGAGTTTCGACAGATATTTAGCTATTCATCATTAAACTACGTGTATATTGGATAGAAGTTCGTTCCATTTTTCTTTGCAGCTGTGAAACAACTATCTATCTATTAGTTGAAGCTATAGGGAGATTATTCAAATTGGTGGGGGGGGACCTCTCCTCCCCTGAACATAGTTTCTGTGTATCAGGTTATTGATCCAAATTTGCATTGAATTAAGGGTAATGATACTACGCAGTTATACTGTCTGTAGATTGGGTGGAGTGACGTTCACAATTGGTACCCATTGGAAAAAGTGGAGTGCTTTTAAGCCAATAAGGAGTCACATTTTCATAGAAATACTGTAACTCCTTGACCAGGGATACTTTCATTCTCCAGCTTACGTTATGTGGAATATATTGGTAATGAATATTGGTAACTAATTAGCGTTTGTAATTGATAGGGACCTCGCCTACTTCAATAGCCGGTCCCTAAGCCCAGAAAAAAGGGGGAAGGTTGGGTGTGGGGCTAGTGACCCTATCTTGAGAAATCAACCCAGTGGCTACCAAAGTGCACTGCGAAAATGTAAAAAAAATAATTAATCCCTAGCTGGAATTGGAGAGGTGGGATGACGCGGGTTGGTGGAAGCTTTCAGAAAGCCAATCAGATGATTTATCTTCTTTCGATGAAAGCAAAAATAAGCATGGGGACAGGGGATGTTCTCACAATGTCCGAAGCCAGTTGGGAAGGCTGCTTAGATTGACAAAGAAATGATCAGATAATGTGTAGAAGTACTAGTATTCTGTGAAAGCAGATGAAATTAAACTCTCCAAGTTGTTATCTGGGGAGTCAAAAATCTACTCCGGCCACCCCAGACGACGCTCATGAGCACATTAAGGGAGTAGCCATCATGGTGTCACCGACATCATCCAAATTCTGGAGCGACTGAGAATCAATGTCCAGGATAATGACAGTAAGATTCAACTCAAAAAGTAGGAAAGTTACATTTATCCAATGCAACGCTCCTGGAAATAACGCAGACCCAGTGAAGAAGGTGAAATTTTACAGACAACTGCAAACAGTAACGGAAAAGACCGTTAGTGGCGACATTAAAGTCCTATCGCTTAGTGTGAATGCTAAACTGGGGCAGCGAACTTAAAATTGGCCAGGAGACTCATGATGAAATCAATGAGACTGAAGAACTCTTTCTAGACGTTTGCGTATTCAATGATTTGATGATTGGACGTTGCATGTACAAGCACAAGGACATACATAGGGTGACGTAGATCTCACCTGACGGACACACCAAAAACCAAGATAGACTTCATTTCAATGTGTAAAAAGTGGAGACGCAGCCTGCTAGATACAAAGTCGAGAAGGGGGTTTGATGTGGACTGAAACTATTTAACGCAAGGAACCCTCAAAGTCAAGTTGAAAGCCTTCAATGAATCTGGGTGTAGACCAAAATTCAAGTGCCACACTCAGAAACTGAAGGACTAAACTACAAAGGACACCTTCACTATATAACCATAATATTGGAAATAAATGTATTGCTAGGTCACGTGCGCTCGCTGCTTTTTCATATTGAAATCAAAACAAGATTTTGAGCGAACAATTGTTTTCGATAACTTCTTCTTCTTCAGGCTCTACGGTTATAAATCCACGAATAATAGAGTACACATAGCGAATCAAGGCAATTGAAAATAATATCAGAAACTGTATTGGGGTGCATGTGTAAGTTGAGATGATAGTCCATTAGTTAACATAATCAATCAAATGTGTGTATAGGGTGTATAGTCAGAAAAATGTGTGATGAAGTGTGGTGAATGAACAATTGGGTGATATAGTGCTGTTTTATAGTCAACAGAATACAAGTGTCATTGGGGCGAGAGAAATGCGATAACCACAAAATACATACAAACACACATTAACAAAGGGGACAGTGAATGTGAGGGCTGATCGATAATGTCTAATGATAAAATAAAGAGGCTAAATTGTAAATTGTAATAAGATGTTGCAGAATTGGTAGGCTTAATATAAAATCATAAAGGTTGACAAAAATTGAGGGTAACAATTAGATGGAATAAACTGGGTGGAGAAATGGGTAATAAAGACACGATATCACAAAATGATAATAACGGTTATAATAATACGGAAAATTATGATCGTGGTGACCTTATAGTGGGCCAGGGTAGACAGAGAGAGTGAATAAGTTTTTTCTGTACACATAAGTCTGGTCTTTGTCTATTAATCTCTAAAGCCTCAGCTATGACTAGGAGGCGTAATCATGTGCCTTTGGGGAGATTATTTGGTATCAGTCAGTGAAATATGAATCAAAGGGTTAAAATAAACCTCAGGTATGCAACCCACTATGATGAAGTTTTCTTTTCACAGGATTTATTTTCTTCTTCCCTAAAAATTTGGACATCATGTAATTTCTATTTCTCCTACTCTTCTTTGTACATATACATAATGCAGGATCTCAGTTATATTCCTCCTGATGATAAAGAGACCACAGTTACTTATCCACTGGTAACTCGTTCTTCTGTCCTGTCAATTCTACCGCTGATTTTTACATCTTTAAAACATTCAATCAATGAATATGAATGGCTGTTGAATTATATCTCTATCAATTATGCTGGCCGATTAGACTTGAATGATGGTAAAGGTAAGTAGGCGTAGGAATTTGTTTGGTGTTTTTTTTAAACAGTTGAATTTATTGTCGTCGATTTTTTATATATTCATCGAAGAAGCTCTTTTCGGTGAAGCCACTTTCCTCTTTAGCTTTGCAATCGATTTTATATACTATTTTTCTCTCTCCACAAAACGGGATAGTAGTCAAAGTGATGAATAGTTGTTAAAAGCATATTTACGCTAGTATTCAAGGTGTCAGTGTTATGCAGTGTAAGATAAGTGACCAAATGAATGAGTTGTAAACAGAATACAGAATTGAGAGAAATTGTGATATCCCATAAGAGTTTGACTATTGTTTCAACTACAGGAGGAACGGACGAGGATGTCAAATCGAGAATCGACAACGAGCGAGAAACACATTCATCAACCTGAAACCAATCTGGAAATCTTCGTCACTCCTCAGCATCAACAACAAAATTCGGATTTTCAATACAAACGTCAAGTCAGTCAGTTCTTCTATATAGATGGATCAGAAACTTGGTGGCGGGTCACAAAGAATATTTCAAACAGCCTGTTTCAGACATTCATCAACAACTAACTGTCTTCACTGGCTCTATACTGAAGATCAGATGGCCGGAAAGAACAAGAACCAACAAGAAACTATGAGGACAAACAAAACAAGAACCAATCAATCGCCCAACATATATGCAGGAGAAAGTGGAGATGGATTGGACACTCGCTGGGTGACATCGCGCGTCAGGCCAACGCTTGAGTGGAAGCCGAAAGGGAAGCGGCGGCGAGTGGGACGTCAGTGCGAGGGTGACATGGAGGAGATTGTGAGAAGAGTAGTTGAAACAGTATGGACTAACATGGATGCAAGTGAAAAGTACAGCAGTAGACAGAAGGAAGCTCTATGTTCTACTAGGAACCCAAGGGAACAATAATAGTAATAAGATTTCGAAAGAATCTGAAGAGTCAGAAAGAGTGGAAAAACAAGCAAACAAAATCAAGTTGCTAGCAAACAACAGGGTTATTACTGAGATAGTGCAAGCAGTTGAATGATTTTCCTTTTTTATGCGGAGCTCCAGTTTGCCTATCTTAATGACTAGAAATTCAGCAATTCAAAGGATTTATTATTATTTTTATTCTCTTGGGTTTGGAGCGGAACATAGAGTTTTAACAACACATTTAAATTTCATCTTGTTTCTTGCAGCTATTTTTAGTTGACTCCATGATTATCCATACGGTATTCATCTCCTTCACGTCAACCTCTGGCGCCCAACCGTCGTTTCCCATTCGGGTTCCATTCAAGGGTTTGCTTAGCGCATGATGTCACTCAATGGTGCCTTCAGCGTGTCTGTATTTTCTTTGTCATATTTTTTGGGCAATAGGATCTTGACTGGATCGTTCCCTGTTGCTGAATCCTTTATGTAAAACGGGACGAAAGCATATTGTCTTTAAAATCTGAAACTATTAATAATATTATTTAGAAAATTTTCTGAAAAATATATTCTAGGTATACGTTTGATCTGTCAACAGTATACAACTTTCATTTTGAATCTTCACTCATGATTAATTTTGCATGTTTTGTGGACCGGTCGGTCGGTTTTCGACATAGAACTTTGCACTGATGTGCGGCTGTTCAAGTCGCCACACTCCATGTAGCACACAAAACAAAAGAGAAGAAAGTAGGAGAAATGCATATTAGAGACAGTAAACAGAGGTGTGAGACAAAGGAATAGTAATAACGAAGAACAAAACAGTTTCATTGGAAATCATAGGTCACAGGGAGTGGATGCATCTACACCAGCCATTGAGAACGATTTTGAACCATGTCACCAATTGTTTCCAACCATTGGTTTTTACCGTTATCCCGAGAACGCCAACCAGTCAGGAAGTGTACACCTTCCTACGTGGCTAGCTTAAACTAACTGTTGTGTCTTTCATTGACTGGTTCCATGTTTTCGTTTGACCGCCGCTAGCTCTTTTCCAGTCTGGCCCTATATCAGCTAACATTGCCCGTTGTCGAGGAAGGCGATGACTAGGCGTGCATGAGTAACACATGTCCCAACCATCTCAGTCGATGTAATTTCACAGCCTCGTCGATTGATTTCCCCTCCTTACCTAGCACTCGACCGATGCCTAACCTCAATATTGCTCACCTTATTATACCACTTCATGTGGGAGATAGAACGTAGATACCTATGATCGATGACAGCTATTCTTTTCATGTCTTCCGCTCTCATTGGCCAGGTCTCACAGCCATAAAGGAGGACGGAGCGGACTGTTGAGCAGTACACACGCCCTTTGGTCGATAGTCGGATATCACGTCTACTAAGCCAGAGACGGCGTAAACTGGTATATGCGAACCTAACCCTCTGTATTCGTGCTGAGATTTCGTCGGAGATGAACCCGTTAGGGTTGATGGTACTTCCCAAGTAAGTGAAGCGGTCAACGTGTTCTACCACTTCACTTCCTATTTCTAATCTAGAGGTCGGTGTAGTTCAATCCTGCAGCATCATCTTACATTTTACAGGGGCGAATCGCATGCCAAACATACGAAGATTGTTGCTCAAGGTGTTCAGTAGACTCTGCATTTTGTGGACCAAGATACTGTCTCAATTTAAAATTTTAAACATCCATTTTCTGATGATAAGGTGTCAGTTTCCAGACAATAGCTTCTAGTGACAAGAGTATATTCGCGTGCTCTAGAGAACCCTTGAAAACCAGGGAGTACTGGACAGTCAGCTGTTTCATCAGCCTAGTTTGGGAATGATTGGCAGTACACACCCACTGCCAGGTTTCGAACCCAGGACCTTCCGGTTACAAGGCAAGCTCGTATACGATTCAGCCACTGGGACCAGATTCAATGGCCAGTCCATGAATTTCAACTTGTAACTTTCAATGGTTCTCTAACTGATATCAATCCTTGATTAAACTCGAAAAACAAACCTAATCCTTACAAATTAACTCTTGAAAGTTCACTAGAGAGTCGTTGGTTTCAGATCCTAGAGCCCCATTGTTTCACTATCTTCCTTTTTTAAACTCTTATATATTTCTATAAAGCAGATGATAAGGGGTTTACATTCACTTTGAATTTTCACACGGTAAATCTCTCATTGCTGCTGCATAAAGGTGATGAATAGAACGTTATCAGTGTACGCCAACATGGACTTATTTTGAGAGTAGTCACTAGGGAGTAAGACAAAGCTACCTATCATCATCGCTGATATTCCTAGTTGTGGAGGACTCGATCCTGTGAGAAGACAGGAATACGTTGGGAGATCTAAAATTTGTGGATAATTTCTGTGTGATGTTACACAATCTCAAAGATGTGTAAGGGAAAACCAACAAGCTGTCAGCAAAGACATGCAGCGAAGTCAGGACTCCAAGTAAACATTGAGAAAATGGAAGTGATGATGATGATAACTAACTCACCGACTAACCATAAGCACCAGTTACTACCGACGGGATTATTTTTCAACTATGTCACTTGTTATGTACTCGTCGTCGATAAGTTATGGGGTCGTTGCCGATATTATCGTGTGACCGAGTGTAATTATGCGCTAATGAGATATAACGGACGATCACTTACAGACTGGTATTGCTGAGTAGTTAATTTGTCCTGACGCGAAGATGGCAAATTAGAAGACCAGCCCGTTCACGATGATATGTGTATTTTCCACAAGGGAAATAACTGTCACTCAGAGTGTGAGTGAAGTACCAAACACTACGGTAGGCGTAAAAGAGAGAGAGAGAGAGTGAGTCAGGAAGTGTACAATGCAAGAGTGTATGTGAAAATGACTGATACATACATGAACCAATCATAAGATAGACAGTAGTAGTTTTTCTTACCATCATTAGGTTCTGATTGGTTGTTATGTCATGTGACAACAAGGTCATACATTGCGTTTATTTAGTTGATGGAATATCGATCAATATACACCTAGCAAAATATATCAGACTGTCAAAACAAAGGCAGACATCATGTGACTACATATCATCACTTTCTTCACTTATTTGGGCATCATCGTTTCAAGTACACAGGCATGCGGATGATGGTGTCAGATGCAGGATCGGAAAAGAGAGAGAGAGAAATTCATTACTCAGATCGGTGTAGAAATCTGCTACTGCATTGAGCATAAAGGATAGGATTCTCATTTTCAACACTGATGTCTATTTAGTTAGTTCTATGTGGTCCAGGGAGACTTACGTGTGCCCGTCAGCAAAAGCATTTTGAACATGCATACTTCAGACCTTTGTAAACAGCTGTCTTCCTTCGGTATTGAAGATCAGATCACCAACTATAATCGATTGTTAATCAGTAATTCTGTCAGCGAGCCAACTAAAAACCTAATGCCCAGCAGATTTACTGAAGAAAATGGGGATGGATAGGGCACACTGAGAAGACCTTTGAGTGATATCGCTGTCCAAACAAGCCCTCAAGTAGATATGATAGAGAAGATTTGTAGCTCAGGTGGATGATTTTGATGTGGTTGTGTTCTCTGAGCTGGATAGTTAATTTGCGAAGCTTTCATCACCCTACTGGGTGACATCTTCAGCGCATACTTCAATTTGAAGACTTCAATGCAATGCAGTTACCAAGGGAAGTGGCTCTTTATCGCAGGTGGACTTTGTAGTAATGTTAGATCTTTCTAGGTGGCTGACAGAAAGCCCTATACTTAGGTTTTATGCTTGTTGATACTCCTCAGCAATGTATGTCAACAACATTGAAGTAACTGATGTTCTTCGCCCCCCCCCCCCAGTGCTACAGTCGAATCCAGGATAGCTTTATAGTAACTATCTTGATTACAGCACTGAACGACTTAGGCGCGAGGGTTCTATGGGACATCAGTCTCGTTGAGGTTGCAGATATGCCGTGCTGACTAGCACCAATCACAAGATCTGTATCCCAGACCTTCTGTCGTCTGTTTTCAACCGGTTAACATTGATTCGACGCTCAGTCAACACCAACGCAAAGACTAGAAAAATGTAATCCGTTGCTCCTTTACTGATCAGTTAATCAATCTGGATTCTGTAGATATTTGAATAATGTCAGTGTATTTTTTCTTAAACGAATACGACCGAGGGTTGGTAGACTGGGATGTTCCTCTATAAACGCTCTGATGTAGCCACACGTTCATAGCCTCTACTAGGTAGATCCTATTCACTGCCTTCTCGTGACAGTAGTGTTCCTCATAAATGTGTAGGCATGAATGCGAACGTATGGCACTTACAACCCAACTAATGGACATCTAGGTCTGCCTAGGGTTGCTGGGAAATCTGAATTCCAAGCCTACTGTGTACATGGGCTCCAAAATCAGAAATGATTGAATCCATGCGTATATAGCTCTTGATTCTGTTCCACTGTCTTGTCGACCTGACTTCAAGTCCAATGGCTCGGGGGATGGCCCCTTAAGATAATCACCCTCTTCAGTCTGGACATCTAGAAAGTATCACAGCCCTCACACAAAAAATCAAATTTTGTATGGTCTATCTCTTGGTGAGCATAACTTAATAGGTTTGTGTCCTAATAATAATACTTTTGTTATGGTTATTGATTATTTCTCATGATTTATAAATTAATTGTCTGCTTGCAAATCATTAATTCGTCAACTGTTTCTTCTTTTCTCTCTTCAGCGTCTAAAGATGTTGAAACAAAATTAGAAGGTAATGAACAAGAAGAAGCCTTGTGTCTACGTCTTATTGGACTCGGTGAAATATTAGCTCAACTATTACAGACAGCACTTCCAGCACCAAGTGCACATATTGACACATTACTAGAGATTGGAGCGTCTGTGTTCAATCTACTCGGTCGTTTAACAAAATATGTAAGTTAGTTAGTTAATTCATGAATGAATGAGTTGCTGTGATGTATGGATTGACTGTTATTTTGTCTGTCTTCTGTCATACATGCTTTACATGTTTCTTTTGATGATTTTTAGAATAGTCACCTTATTAATCGAAGTACTGTATTATTATAATAATTATTATATATTATTGTTTCCTTTAATTCCTAGAGGAACATAGGGATTCAGCCGTGCGTCTCCATTGCGTTCGGTTCTCTGCCAACGTTTTCACCTGGCTCCATGTCTGCCCACACGTTTTCATCTCCTCTTCACATGACCTCCTCCAAGTCACCCACCCTCACACTGACGACCAACTCGCCGCTTCCATTTCGGGTTCCACTCGAGCAATGGCTTGTCTAGTGATGTCACTCACTTGATGGTTTGTTTCCTCAGAGTATGGCCAGCCAATCCATCTCCATTTCTTCCTGCCTATTTGTTTCACAATCGGTTCCTGCTGAGTTGGTTCGCTCATTGCCAGAGATCCCTCTCTGTTGGTGATCTTTTCTGGCCAGCCATCTGATCATGAGTGGTGTTGAGCGAAGACAACTAGCTGTTAATGAAGGTGTGTAGTTTGTTTGTTTGAGATGCTGTTTATGACGGGCAGTGCAAGTCTCTGATCCATCCGTATAGTGAGTAGCACTGACTGGCTTCACTTTGGAGTTGAAAATCCGGATCATATCTTCGTTTTGATGCTGAGTGCTGAGTGTTGACCTCCACACAGACTTGAGAGTAGTGAAAGCTTGTCTTGCTTTTCCGATCCTCGCTGCTTTGATATCCTCGTAGAAGTACTGTAGTTTTTAAAACATTAAACTAGTGAATTTTGAGTTGAAATTTCACTCCTTCCACATCAACCTTACCATCTGGGTAGTATCTTTGACTAATTCACATAACAAGGTATGACTTGGTATTGAAGGTTTTGCAGTAAGTTGAACTTGTCACACATCCATGGATGGGAACTTTCTGTCGAAAGAAATGAAAAGTAGTGAGAATTATTGAACCACGTCATCAACAGTTTCAGATCATTGATTCTAAACATCTTGAAGACTTCACCCGGGGACTCTACATCTCCTTACGTGGCTCAAGCAAACTTTAGCCTTTCCTCTTAGATTAAAAGTTATCTATCTGTTCTAATATTTCCTTTTCGGATATGACAGAAAAAGATTTAACTCATATAACTGTAAATGCTGTACTAGTTTTATGGTATGTTGACCGTTAGTTGTACCGGTTTATTATTATTACAGTCTCTTCATCTTATTTGTCATTTTATGAAAAAGTAGAAATAAACTACTATTACTGAATTCTTTCCACTAACATGAATCAGACAAGGGTGCTTATTATCACCAATGATATTCCTAATTGTGGTGGGCTGGATTAGGCGTCAGACAGTTGGAAACGAGAAGACAGGGATATCATGGACCGACGTGAAGAATCTAGAAGACCTGGATTTCGCGCGTGGATGATTTATGTTTGATGTCACACAAAATCGAAGACTTACAAGCGAAAACTGACAAACTGGTCGATGAAGCAGCCAGAGAAGACAGGACTCCAGGTGATGAACATAGACAAGACGAAGGTTATGAAATTAAACAACCAACAACAACAACAGCAGCAACAACATCCACCGCCAATCACCATCAACGGGAGGAATTTGAAAGAGGTTACTTCATTCACTTACTTAGGGAGCATTGTCTCAACTACAGGCAGGTGGAACGGACGAGGATGTCAAATCGAGAATCGAGTAGGTGAGAAACACATTCATCAACCTGAAACCAATCTGGAAATCTTCCGCTGTCACTCAACTCAGCATCAACAACAAAATTCGGATTTTCAATACAAACGTCAAGTCAGTCAGTCACTTCTTCTATACGGATGGATCAGAAACTAAGCGGCGGGTCACAAAGGATATTTCCAACAGCCTGTTGCAGACCTTCATCAACAAGTGTCTTCGCTCTATATTGAAGATCAGATGGCCGGAAAGAATCACCAACAAGAAACAAACTATGGGAAGAAACAAAACAAGAACCAATCGCCCAAGAGATATGTAGGAGAAAGTGTGGATGGATTGGACACTCACTGGCTGAGGAGGCCACTGAGCGACATCACGCATCAGGACAATGCTCGAGTGGAACCCGAAAGGGAAGTGGTGAGTGTGACGTCAGTGCAAGGGTGACATGGAGGAGATCGTGTGAAGAAGAGTTGAAACAGTATGGATTAACATGGATGCAAGTGAAAAGTACAGGAGAAGACAGAAGCAAGTGGAGACGTGTAGTTGAAGCCCTATGTTCCACTAGGAACCCAAGATAATAATAATTATTATTCCATACTGCCTGCGGATATCTGTGTTGTATTTTTTGCTTCTTACTTTAATTACCGACAGTTTCCAATGATTTGGTTTATTCATTGAAGCCTATTGGTCTCTGTTTTCGAGTTTTGCTTCATCTATTTCAGTCTTGGCTATCAGGTAGTATCATTAGCTGTCAATAGGTGTTGTACATACCATGATACTGAGTCATTGGTTCAGTGGCTCAGTGTTCGTTCGGTACACGCCGTGGTCAGTGTTCGATTGCTGGCTGATATACAGTCGCATAACCTACCTAGCCAGCCGGTAGTAGGTTTGGGGAAGAGGAAAGGTTGGGCGTGAGACGACAAGCAGTCCTCACCCCCTGTACAAACAACAACACTACGGTCACTGAATCTTCAAAGGTTGTGAAACCCTATATTCCATTCAGAAAACCAAAAAAATCTTTTCCAAGTAACTGAGTTCAAGAAATATGGAATTTCTTGTAAATCGGTGACTACCAGTTGTCATGGACTTCCTAGATTATTTTTTTCTCCTTTATTTTATTTCTTATCGTTCTGAATGGAAATTAGGGCTTCAAGCCTCAGGCTCTGAATTTTCAATAGCAGTGGTGTCTATTTTTTACTGAGTGAGGTTGCTAGCCTCACACCCAACTTTCCAACTTCCTTTATATGATTTATTATTCCTCATCTCTTGAATTATATAAACAAAGTTGAAAAGTTGTGTGAGTAACTTGATATGATTGTACTCTAAACGTCATCAGTAAATATTACTGTATAACACTGTAAGACTTTATCAAAATACATGGTATATGAGCTCGCCTTGTAGCCAGAAGGTCCTGGTTTCGAATCCCGGTGGGCACGTACTGATGAAGAGTCTCAAACTAGGACGAAGCAGCTGTCCAGTACTCCCAGGTTTTCCAGTGGTTCTCTAAATGATGTCAGCTCATGATGAAATCCTGTAACAAAATACATTTTCTTCATAATGGAATTAAGTAAGTTGTGTAAGAAAAAACTCTATGCCTAACTTTAATACTGTTCAATTTATGACCTCACTGTATTACAAGAACATCGTTTTATGATTTCATCCCTCGTTAAATACTTGAAGTCATCTCAAGTCATTTATCTCACTGTGTATATGTTTCACTGTTTGCAGTTGTGCATAGAAATCTGCCGTCTCTTGTTCTGATTTGTTTGTAGACGCATAGCACTGGTTAAGTGTGTAATTTTCCTACCTTTTGAGTTGAATCTTGTTGTCCTTATCCTGGAGGACTTTGAATTCCACTGCATTAAAGCTTTCGATTTTGTTAGTGATCTAATGATAGCCGCTCTGTCAGTTATACTCGTGGATGTCATTTAGGTGAACGGAACAGATCTTCGACTTTCCAGTGAATAACTTAGAGAGCTGGCTTACATTCTATCCACCCTCACATATTCCTTTTTTTCCCTTCACGTTCCCCAGTGGAACATAGGGCTTCAAGCTAGTGGCTTGAAGTTTCTGTAGCAGTGTTTATTTTTACAGGATGGGGTTGCTAGCCTCATGCCCAACCTTTCCTCTTCACCAGCATTATTTCTGGCTTAGCGAGGTAAAGGAGTGCGTCGGTGGCCGGGGATCGAACCCCGGACCATGTGCATGGTCGGCGAGCGTCCTAACCACCACTATGCCACAGATTCCTAGCACTTATATATCGTATCTTTTCTTATCTTTGGCTTCGGACATTGTGAGAACATCCCATGTCCCCATGCCTCTTTTCGCTTTTGTCTAGAGAAGACACATCGGCTGACTAGTTTCCCAAACGCTTCCACTAACCCACGTCATTCCATCTCTCCAATGCCAGTGAATTTTTTATATTTTTTCTGTGCATTTAAGTTCCGGTGGCGGTTGGGGGTAGGGTCACTAGCCCCTTACCCAATCTTCCCACTTTTCTTGGGTTTGGAAGCTGCTAAAAAGGTATTTTATTAGTAAACTAGGTAAGTTTACATGTTACGCAGTCGTACATAATAAGGTGAAGCAAATTATCATATAATGCAGATGACCTCTAATTTCGTATGAGGGATTTAATGCAATGGATTGGTAACGAGAATTTTTGCAAATTATTCATCATTATATAGAGCTGTTAGGTGCCTGGTCTAAAGGTAACCAGGGTGTAGTAGAACGCGATTCGAACCATAAACCGAATACTATTCCACCGTACTCCTGGCGATTGAACGCAAGGGTATGGTAATCCTTGTTATCTTAGAGAGAAATCTGGTCACTGTGAAGTTGAAAACAAATTTATCCACCGTGTGTTCTTTTTCCGCTAAATTCGGATTTCTTTTCATTAATTATTCCACCTGGGTTTTTCTATGTTATGTATTGAAACTGTGATTCCTCTGCTTTGTTTTTCTTTTTTTTAAAAAAAATAGTATCTGCGTATTGTTCGTTTACGATATGGTCGATTCCCGATTATTTTTGAACGATTAGTTCGCGTTTACGGTCGTGAAGTAGCTCCACGTGCCTATGAATTATTCTCTTACATACAGGTAATCAATCTTTATTATCATTCCAGCCTTTTTGTTTTGTTTTATTTTTGTATACCTAATTCGTTTTTTGCAGTAAAAATTGCATCAGGCCTATTATTTTTTTATTGAAATCTGTTAAATTTCTCGTAAACGAGAACTTGATGATTAGATTCACTGTTCAT